CACGGTTCAGAAGTGGATCCTACCACAAAGGCAAGTGTTACTCTGTGTACGGTGTGTGGTGACTGGCGAGTGCTACTCTGTGTACACGGTGTGTGGCGAGTGTTACTCTGTGTACATGGAAGTGCTGCCGGCTTATTAGTTGTAATAACGCGTTATCCACTGGGAGGCGACAGAAATTACACACTATAGCTTTAACAGAATCACCTCAAGTGACCCAAACAGTTCATCAAAATGGGTTCTAGCACAGTTCTTAAACTACTTTTTACAAAACTTTAACCTACCTGTTATTTTTTATAAGTATAATCATGAAATATATACTACATAGGTATTATTGTAGCTGAACTTGTGCTGAACACACAAAAAAGTCATGTGACTTGGAAAGTACTTACATTTTCCATCACATATTACAATTTGATAAAAAAAAAAAAAAGAAAGACATAAATGTATTGTAGCATGGACAAAACTGACATGCTTGTACTTAATGCACTTTATTTGACAAACAGACAAAAACAACCTACCTGGCTGCCCATAAGTCTGTATATAAGGCTTGTAATGAGCTCTGGATACAGAGAAAAACGCTCCACTGCATTGATGGTCTGACCTGAAACAGTCCTGTTATCTAGCGTCAGCTCATAAAACCCTGGAAAACACAAACCACATAAGCACAGATTTGATTGACAAGGAGAGAGACTGACATTCATAGCCCTTTAATTTAAGTTAGTGTCCATTTTAATGCTGTATTTAGTTAAATACTTAAATTTTCTTTCTTTAAGAAGAAGCAGAAAGTTTTCATGTACCTCTTTCAAAAGATGGTGCAGTCAGCATGTGCTTGTAGTAGTAATAATAGAGCCCGCTGCCTTCTTGGAAGGTGATTTCACGCTCTAGCTCCTGAGACACATGGAGGTGAATTTTAGGATAAATATGTTCATGGCATTAAGTGAAGTGGAAATCTGATAGAAGCAGACCCATGTAAAGCGTACCTGTCTACTTGAAAACCAGAACTTTCTGTCATGATATGCAGACAGATAAGCAGCATAAAGCATGCCGCAGGCAACTGCTGCCAGACATCCAAAGAACACCCTCACCATGCGCTGCAAAAAACCTGCTGAGGAGCAGAAATATAATATCACATCACATATCACAACAATACGTCTAAGTAAGTTGGACCCATTTTCTCTGCCTTTAAAGGCCCGCAGGTGGTTTCACTCTGTAACTATCCTGCTAAACCATAATCAAGGGTTTATAGAGTCACTGGAGACACTAGTCTCTTTCCCCTTTCTAAGAAGGAATCTGTATTAATGATTTTAACTGCTTATACAGGGCTGGACTCTACAGATAAACAAGACACTACTATAAACAAAGAAACATCTGTTGTGATGTTGATACATATGCATAGATATGGAAAAACTGCATCTCAAAATGTTTAGCTGTTCATCACAAATCATTTAGGTGAATTCTGATGTAGTATAATTTCTGGTGGCACGGTGGTGCATTGGTTAGCATTGTCACCTCACAGCAAGAGAATTCCTGGTTAGAAAAAGGGGAGGGGGAGGGGGGTTCAAACCCACGAGTGGGGGAGCCACTCTGTGCGGAGTTTGCGTGTTCTCCTTGTGTCAGCGTGAGTTTTCTCTGGGTACTCCGGCTTCCTCCCACAGTCCAAGGACATACAGGTTAGGTTAACTGGTAAATTGCCCATAGGTGTGAGTGTGAGTAGCTGGCTGTCTCTATGTGTCAGCCCTATGATAATCTGGCGACCTGTCCAGGGTGTACCCCACCTCTCGCCCAATGTCAGCTTGGAAAGGCTCCAGCCCCCCCGCGAACCCCAGCAGAATAAGAGGTTACAGCAAATGAATGAATTTTCTTTTCTTAAAGCTTCTTAAAGCTGCATCTTAAAGACAACAAAGCTGGACAAATAAATAATAGACAGGACTATGTAGAGAGATGTAGGTGCATAAATAAATAGCAATATAAATAAAAGCACCAATGACCAACAACATTAAAATTAAACAAAATAAATAGTGCAAATACATGAATATTAAATTTTGATTCTGTGGTTATTCGACAGCTGTCTCAAGTGCCACAACCCTACAAAAAGATCACCAGATCATCAGTCAAGGAGTAGGAGTAACAGAGGACTGACACTGATATTGCTTTATAAAATTGGCATCAAGCAGTGCTGAAAGTATAAAAACATATCTGCAATGTTGGGAAGTAATGAACTACATGTAATTAAACTAGTAATATAAATACATTTTGTAGCTTGCTGGTAGTTCAACTCAATTTGTATACTGATTCAAGTGGTAACCTTTATGCCAGTTTTTGTGTAGTTAACGTCTTAAAATACAAACAGTTTTGCTCCATAAAAGAAAACAGATGATTTTTTAATTTTTATTTTACCATTGCCTCTATGTAATTGAACCCCCTTTGACCACAATTAGTCAGAACTATTGATTGTTGCTATTTATTAACAAATGTCCAGAGAAACTGTTGCATGCTATTTTTCAAGATTACCTGAGTAATCCTAGTGCAAAACCCCGACATAGACTCTACTTTCTTGAACGCAGGTGTCTGACCTTTGGAAACTGTATAAAAAACTAAAGCTGACATTGCTTACAATTATGACCTGTGATCAAGTGGACACCACTTGCAAAACACTCTATAAAGTGTGCATTTTTTGCTGGCATGTGACTTTTGTATTCTACTTTTTTAATAATTCCATATCATGTGTATATTGTCAATTTGATCACTTTTTTACGAAGCAGTTTGAACTACTTTTTCTGACTAGCTTTAATTAACCAAACCAGATTTCTCCTAAAGATAGCTTGTCTATAGTTAAACTTCTTCCAATGAGAAGTCTTGCAAAGCTAGGCTTTCAAAGTAGCTTCCCCAACACTGCACAACACTATATAATTTAGGACATAAACTTACATGTAGAGGAACTCTTGGATCTTTTGACAGATGACTCTGGTCTGTTTGATTCTTCCTCTTTATGTTGAGCATCCTCTTCTTTAACCTCACCCTCAACTTTCTGCTGCATCTCATATCCATCTCCACCCATGGACACACAGCCCTCATCCTCCCCTGTGTTCACCGGTTCATTAGTATCTGGTCAGGTGAAAAAGACAGACTTGTCTGATATGATGGCAATCTTCACCATGTCAGACGTGACGTTTGTGTTTAGTTACTAGATGTTTTTGCACAGGAAGCTAACTGGTGTTCTGTTAGCAAACTGCTAGGTTAGCTAGACTTACGTGTGGTCTTCAACTCAGCCTCATTCGGGCACTCGTCCTCTTCTTTATCTTCCTCCACAGTGTCTGTTTTTCGACATCTTAACTCGGTCATGACGAGATGAATTTAATCCTAGAGCAATTGTCTAATGTGTTGAGGCAGCAGCATGCTAGCTAACGAGCTGTTAGCTAACCCAAGAGCCCTTAAATTAATGTTTCGCTTTTGCGAAGGCAGGTGGCAGCTAGTATTAGTTACAAGTTACCTTTTGTCTAGATTAACTGTTCTTGTATGAAGTTACAAACCAGCAGCTTGACAGTTGCAGTGTTTGTGGTGTACACTGTGTGGAGGACTGTACCTTCACTGCTGCTGCTGGGCTGATAGGCTGATACCGGGGACATAGCGGAAGTTGAGGTTGACGACAGAAAGCAGAGAAGAAGAAGAAGAAGCGTGAGCAAATTCCGTTGCAAAAAGAAAAAAACAACACGAAACAAACACACACACACACACACACACACACACACACACACACATTTATACACACGTATATATAATTACTTATAATTAACAGTAATAATTAGTAATAAATTAATATAAACTAATATACTTATTTTTGGTTTTAATTCGTTAGTTGCAGCCTTAAATATTCGTATAGATCATCTTTGGACGTGGGGGCAAGCAATTTGAAGATGTCACCTTTTTTTAATTACTTGATTTATCAGGAAAAAAATGACTGTTATAATATTAATCATGATAACTGTTTAATAATGATCATATTTGTTAGCATTCCTGGTGTAGTGTGTTTTTGCCTGTTTGTTTTTTTTTTGGTAGATATTTAATCTGAACAAGAACTACAGTACAGTCCTAATTGGATCAAGTACACAACTGAAGCCAGGTTGTTTCAACTTAACAGCTACATGGGGGTGTGCAGACAGCCCTGCTGCAACTATATCCCAAATAGGCCCATCATAAAAATGTAGGATTACTTTTTAAAAGCAAGTTAAAAAGAACAAGAACTACTACCTCAAAGTTGAATGCCTCTGCAAACCAAATGAGTTGCAGTTTACATCCATGTCTGTCCAGACTCATATGTAGCCATGGGAAACGACAATGCTTCAAATATGGCCGTTGCTGCATTGAAACAACATATTCTTAAACTTGGAATCTTCACACACTTCCCCCTGCAGCACAGAAGATTGATACAATCCCCACAGTTTTAAAGTGGACACCTAAGATTAGTGTCACCAATTCAGTATCTGACCAAATGTGGCCCCTGCTGTTCCTGAGATATAATGTTGAGTATTGCCCAGAAAGTTGTTTTTACAAAACATTATCATGTCAGTGATGTTGACCTTTGACCTTTTGGATCTAAAATGTCCTGACATCACCATTTCATCTTATTAGACATTTGTGTGAAATTTTGAAATTAGCTATGGATTCTTTTTGGCCAATTATGGCCAATTTTTGTTTGTGGTCGAAGTGACCTTTGACAACCAAAATCAAATCAGTTAATTGTTCAGTCCAAGTGGACGCCTGTGCCAAATTTTAATAAATTCCATCAAGGCATCATTGAGACATCATATTTACGAAAAAAGGGATGTCGTTTTCTAAAAATACTTTGACAGCCCTCTGAGACAAATGTGTGGTTTTTGGAAGCATAAATACAACTGACTTGACTTACAATTTCAACAGAATGAAAATTTCAGACAAGAATAAAGACAAGGAATTGTAGGTGTGTGGCAAGTCATCTGAAATAGAGATGGACTCATCTGATATGAATTTCATGGTGAAAACAGTTTAATCCAACACAACAGATTTCCACTACAACATGCTGAAAATGTCGTTCACATGATGGCAGAAATGTACTATAATTTAAACTAATGCATGTAAAATTATTCTCCTAAAAAACTAAAACCAGAGACAGTCAATAACAACAATGGGCACAAAATGGTAAAACAACATAAAAGGCTGCATAAAATCAGGTACCTACAACATTTTATACCAAACTTAAAAACAGGAGTAAAAATACCAACACCTTAAACAAACATGTATGTCCTGCATATAAAACACATTGATGAACTTTACATAAACACTTATTGTAATTATTAGGAGTTGTCTCTCCAAAAGATATACAACACTTAAGAAAGTCCCTCAAACTCTGTAGCCACTTGGTGGCTTGAACTTCCCCATCCAGATAGTGCAAGGTCATAAAACGTCATATCATCAACTTCTGTAACATCCGCTTATTCTTCTTCTGGTGATTCCTCTGAGCCCTCAGACTCCTCCTTCAAGGTCTTTTCCTCAATCGTTGTTGCTGTTTTGGAGCGTAAGAATAATGTTACTTTTTATTTTAAAGTTTTATTGCAGCATCAATAATGACTTGATTATGTAATCTGTACCTGCACTGCTTTTGTTCAGGCTCCCTGTTCCTGTGTCCACACCTTCTTCACCATCACACCTCCTTAGTATTATTCTCAGGAGTTTGGTCACTTGTGGGTGTCTAGCCGCTTTGATTAAGGGTTCATCGTCTGAAATGTTGCCTGATGACACTGAAAAATTATTAATGAAACACACGTTTGACAGAATATAGAAAAATGCTTCACAATACTACGTTTTCTTGAATATTCGTTTGTCCAGTGAAGGGTTTTGCTGAGGAACAACATTATCTGTCCTCTAGAAACAGTCTTACACTGTTGGTGTTATGATATGCATTTTCATTTCTGTTACCTCTACTTGCCAAGACTCGCTTTCTGGGAGTTGTGTTCCTGTTCCTCTGAGGTGACACCTTTGGTTTGTGTGTGCGGTTCTTTTTTTACAAGACTAATGAAGGGTCATCATTATTTCATCACAGGGACACAACAGACACAGCCGCAAGGATTAAAAAAATGTTTTCTTCCATATCATATGCTTTGTTCATGTCGTGATGACTGCTACAGTACCTCGTCTCTTTCTTGACGCTCTGCTCCTCGATGCAGTTGTCGTCTTTGTGTTTTTCTTCATTGGTTTCTTTCTTTTGGCAATAAGGTTCACCAAGGGAACATCATCATCCGAGCTGCTGTCTGAGAATAAACGGTCAAACACAATGAATAGACCCTTTTACAACAATGATGACATACGCAAAAGTGCGCATGCAATATGGCAATGGAAGTGTGGTGGGGTGCAGTAGCTTGTGAAGTTATGCAGGTGCATTAACCACCAATTTGAAAAATGGTGACCGACTCACAGATACGTGTGCTATTAGTGAGTGGGTAGAAGACATTAGCAAGTGGCCAGATATATACACGTATTTGGTGGAGAAACCTAGCGTGTACACTAAAGAGAGATTATGCATATGCAAGTCACTAGATGGTTACAACTACATTACATTATTATTACTAACATTATTTTAGTCTATATTAATAGCACTGTGTTGTTATTGATGAGAGTAAGTGTGGTTGTTTTTTGTCTTTTTTGAGCTGCTGGACAACTGAATTTCCCTTTGGGGATAAATAAAGTTCTTTCTATTCTATTCTATTCTATTCTATTTCTATTCTATTCTGTGATCATGTACAGAATGTCAAATGCCATGACACAATGACAGCCAAAGACAAGGACAAAAGATCACTCTATATGAGGCTTGTGCTACAATTGACAAACCAGAAAACTAACATTACATCCTAACAAGGAAATGTACCTGCTGTTTGTGTTGTTGCCTTGCTAGTTTGCATAGTTCAGAGCGCAATGATACAGTTGTTATGCTAACATGAATTATGCTTCTGTTTAAAGCTAACATGAATTTTTGATCCTGTCCTCAGTCTAGTGGTAGTCAATATGTTACAGTTTACCGAGTGCCTACATTAACTGGTGACTTTCAGCCAAATGTATCCATAGTTGCTCATAGTAACTTCCGTAAATGGTTGGCTGGATAATAAACACAGATTAACATGTATGCTTTTGAGAGGACACCTCCATGTTCTGTTCGTGTTATCAATAGTTGCTGCCGCAAGGAGCAACTATGGCGCTTCCAGCTGTGTCACCAGTTAACACAGTCATTTGTTCATCTGAAACACCTGTTGCTCTGAGACAGGGATCCTGTCGGATTTCTGTAGTACTTAAATTTGCTGTTGGATTATTGTTTTTGACAACAAAACACTCAACAACCACACATTTCCATGCTGGCAATGGTCTTAATTCAATATTTAAAGTGTTCAAGCTTTCTCTTCATTGTTGCCAGCAGTTCATCTGAGCTGTTACTGGAAGACTCTATATGTTTAACTAGAACAAATAAATTGGTAAAAGTGCCATGAGCAGCCCATTTTAGATGATTTCTGAAATCCACACCTACCCTTTTTTCTTGCTGCATTCCCTTTGGATTTCATCACTGGGGCTGCTTTTCTAGATGGACCACCAGGTGACTTTCTCTGACGTTGGGGGATAAGTTTCTTTTTTAGTTCACTCAAAGGTTCATCATCTGAGCTATTATCCTCATCCAATGATTCTGTGTAAGAAAAGGAAGGCAAGAATAAGTATCTGCTACAGAGAACAGCAACTTTCTGTGGATGCTGCATAACCATGGAGATAAAATCATCATACCTTTCTTATTTGAATCAACAGATATGAAACTAGTCATGTCCACAATACACAAATATTACTTTTTTGACTTATCAAAGTTTATTTAATTCAAAAATACAAAAAAAAAAGTTTCCCCAGTGTTATTGTCCATCCACAGGTGAATGCAGCCATTGCTTAAAAACTGGACCTCATTAAAGGCCAAAGACTATCTGTGAATTTGTGTTTTTCTTTCACTGAAGGCACATCCTCATCATCCTCATCTGAGCTGCTGTCTGAGGATAAGGTTTTTTTTTAATCCAAGAGATTACTACTTAATTAAATGAATACTTTGTAGCCAGTCTAATGAAACTGCTGCTTACCTTCTGGTGATTTGTCTTTATTTTTTGGCTTTGTTTGCTTGCTGTTTGCTGAAGTCTTCTGCTCTTTAGGAGTCTTCGTCAGCTTCCTCTTCATTGTTGCCAATGCTTCATCATCTGAGCTGTCACTGAGAGACTCTGTATATTTAACTGGAACACACAAAACATATTCATTTTTGGTGCAAGTGCTATAAGAAAAGCATTTAAGATGATTTTTGATTTTCACGTTTTAACACCTACCCTTTTTCCTTGCTGCATTCCTTTTGGATTTTATCACTGGGGTTGCTTTTCTAGATGGACCACCAGGTGACTTTCTCTGACGTTGGGGGTGCAGTTTTTCACGAAGTTCACTCAAAGGTTCATCATCTGAGCTATTATCTTCTTCCAGTGATTCTGTGTAAGAAAAGGAAGTCAATAATAAGTATCTGCCACAGAAAACAGCAACTTTCTGTGGATGCTGCGTTACCACAGAGACAAAATTATTGTACTTTTCTGCTTTGAATCAACAGATTTTTCTGTGCAGCTTTGGAGGACATCTTAGTGATTTTAATGAGTGGCTCATTGTCAGAGCTGTCATCTCTATTTAAATCTGAAACAATTACATATATCAAAAGATTTAAAGACATTCACAAAACTCAGAAAACAGCTGAAATATGGTAACGACATAATGTAACCACCTGCTTTCTTGGTATTTGTGCCATTAGATTTGAGTGACGTGTCGTCTTTTGTTTTTGTTTTTTTAGGTGATGCGGAGATTGTCTTCTTTTTTATTAAAGGCTCGTCATCCGAGGAGTCATCTGAAGCTACAATGGGAGAAGATATAAACGTACAAAATTTAGTTCCTTCTGCTTGCAAAGGTCACAAATATGTCAAGTTGAAAATGTTTTACTTCAGCAGGCAGTATTGTTGGCGGTGTGTTGTATATGTTGTCCTCACCACTTCTGTGCTTTTTTGAAACACTGATGGAGCTGTGTGTGTCCTCATGTGACTGTTTCTCCTCACTGCATGGCCTTATCAGGAGCTTCGAGAGAGGTACATCATCATCAGAGCAGGAGCTGCCATCCCCTGATCAGAGACACAGTGGGATAAATACTAGTCAATAAATCTCAAATTCAGTCTAGTGAAATGGTCACACAAGTTCAACAATAAATACAACCCAGTAAACTACAGCTTTTCTAGTTTGTATATCCTAATATTACTTTAAGTATTTTCCTGTACTTGGAGTCAGCTAAAGCTGATTCAGAAATATTAAACAAATTTATAGTTAAAGGTATATTATGCAGGATTTTCTAAACAACAATGTAAAGACTCATACGAAAGTTATCATTCTCAATCATCACTTATGACCCACTCTCAATGTCTGGCAGTTTATTTATCTGCTGAAACTCTGCCTTCTGTCAGTATTCTTTTATTTTATTCTTCTTTTGCTATGTTTAGGATGTGAATTTGTATTTGCTAGGATAACATACACTGCCTTACCCTGACATTATTACCCGAACCATAATCAGTCTCACTCCTCTTGCCTAAACCTGACCAACCCAACCAACGAAGGCAACGAGTACTAGCCATTTAGAAGAACAGTAGGGCAGCTCATACCCTCACTGTATTAGGAAACGCAAATTCCCATTAGGGACGTTCCTGAGCACAGTGCACAGGTGAGGTCGGGACTCTATAAAAAGGTAGTGATGAGGTGCCAGACTGTAAGCAACACACATCCAAAGGGAAGCTACAAAAATCGGGAACACAGTGCTGAAAAACCCAAACATAGCAAACGACAGTGACTCTGGGGTTGGCTTTCACTTTCTCTGATGATACTGTTTACAAACAGTAACAGACATTTCCTGGATATTATACCTTCAACTACACTTCAGCAGATAATGGGAGACTAATCAAAGTTAATTTAATTAAAAAAAATATAAAATTGTTTCCCCAGTGTTAAACCTCTTCCTAACATACAGTGAGCAAGCAAACCCTGGGGGATGGTGTGTGGAAAAAGTGTCAAGATGTACTACGAGCAACAACAACATTCAGGGGCCCATAAAGCCCTGAGCGGACCAAAGCAGAGGCTTGCTGTTGCTCTGAAAATAGGTTGGAGAGGCGTAGCTTCGCTAAAATAGAGCCAAGGCAAGCACTTTTTTTAAAGAAGTAACATGTCGCTTAGCCTGTTAGCTGATGCACAGAGCAGGTTAGGACATCTTCATGAGGAAACACTAAACAATCTGATGTTGGCTTGCTTGCTTGCATCGCATACAACTAAGAAGAGGGGTTCTTGTCCATCCACAGGTGAATGCAGTCATTTTTTAAAAACTTGACCTCATTAAAGGCCAAAGACTATTTGTGAATGTGTGTTTTTCTTTCACTACAGGCACATCCTCACCATCATCATCTGAGCTGCTGTCTAAAGATGATGGGTCTTTTAAAATCCAAGCGATTTGTATTTGAATTAAATGAATACTTTGTAGCCAGTCGTTTGAAAGTGCTGAATACCTTCTGGTGATTTGTCTTTACGTTTTGGCTTTGTTTGCTTGCTGTTTGCTGAAGTCTTCTGCTCTTTAGGAGTCTTCGTCAGCTTCCTCTTCATTGTTGCCAATGCTTCATCATCTGAGCTGTCACTGGAAGACTCTGTATATTTAANAGCTTCCTCTTCATTGTTGCCAATGCTTCATCATCTGAGCTGTCACTGGAAGACTCTGTATATTTAACTAGAACACACAAAACATATTTATTTTTAGTGCAAGTGCTATGAGAAAAGCATTTAAGACGATTTTTGATTTTCACTTTTTAACATCTACCTTTTTTCCTTGCTGCATTCCTTTTGGATTTCATCAATGGGGTTGCTTTTCTAGATGGACCACCAGGTGACTTTCTCTTACGTTGGGGGTGCAGTTTTTCGCAAAGTTCACTCAAAGGTTCATCATCTGAGCAATTATCTTCTTCCAGTGATTCTGTGTAAGAAAAGAGAGTCAATAATAAGCACCTGCCACAGAGAACAGCAACTTTCTGTGGATGCTGCGTTACCACAGAGACAAAATTATTGTACCTTTCTGCTTTGAATCAACAGATTTTCTCTCTGCAGCTTTGGAGGACTTCTTGGTGATTTTAACGAGTGGCTCATTGTCACAGCTGTCATCGCTATTTAAATCTGAAACAGTTACATATATCAAAAGATTTAAAGACATTCACAAAACTCAGAAAACACAGCTGAAATATGATGACTTAATGTAACCACCTGCTTTCTTGGTATTTGTGCCATTAGATTTGAGTGATGTGTCGTCTTTTGCTTCTGTTTTTTTAGGTGATGCAGAGATTGTCTTCTTTTTTATCAAAGGCTCGTCATCTGAGGAGTCATCTGAAGCTACAATGGGAGAAGATATAAACATACAAAATTCATTCCTTCTGCTTGAAAAGGTCACAAATATGTCAAGTTGAAAATGTTTTACTTCAGCAGGCAGTATTGTTGGCAGTGTGTTGAATATGTTGTCCTCACCACTTTTGGCCTTTCTTGAAACACTGATGGAGCTGTGTGTGTCCTCATGTGACTGTTTCTCCTCACTGCATGGCCTTATCAGGAGCTTCGAGAGAGGTACATCATCATCAGAGCAGGAGCTGCCATCCCCTGATCAGAGACACAGTGGGATAAATACTAGTCAATAAATCTCAAATTCAGTCTAGTGAAATGGTCACACAAGTTCAACAATAAATACAACCCAGTAAACTACAGCTTTTCTAGTTTGTATATCCTAATATTACTTTAAGTATTTTCCTGTACTTGGAGTCAGCTAAAGCTGATTCAGAAATATTAAACAAATTTATAGTTAAAGGTATATTATGCAGGATTTTAATGTGTGTTTTTCTTTCACTACAGGCACATCCTCATCATCATCATCTGAGCTGCTGTCTGAGGATAAGGGTTTTTTTTTAATCCAAGAGATTCATACTTAATTTAAATGAATACTTTGTAGCCAGTCTAATGAAACTGCTGCTTACCTTCTGATGATTTGTCTTTAAGTTTTAGCTGTGTTTGCTTGCTGTTTGCTGAAGTCTTCTGCTCTTTAGGAGTCTTTGTCAGCTTCCTCTTCATTGTTGCCAATGCTTCATCATCTGAGCTGTCACTGGAAGACTCTGTATATTTAACTAGAACACACAAAACATATTTATTTTTGTCAATTTTTGGTACAAGTGCCATGAGCAGCCCATTTTAGATGATTTCTGAAATCCACACCTACCCTTTTTCCTTGCTGCATTCCTTTTGGATTTCATCACTGGGGTTGCTTTTCTAGATGGACCACCAGGTGACTTTCTCTGACGGGGGTGCAGTTTTTCACGAAGTTCACTCAAAGGTTCATCATCTGAGCTATTATCTTCTTCCAGTGATTCTGTGTAAGGAAAGGAAGTCAATTATAAGTATCTGCTACAGAGAACAGCAACTTTCTGTGGTTGCTGTGTAACAATAGAGATAAATTTATCGTACCTTGCTGCTTTGAATCAACAGATATTTTATTTGCAGCTTTGGAGGACATCTTCATGATTTTAATGAGTGGCTCATTGTCAGAGCTGTCATCTCTATTTAAATCTGAAACAATTACATATATCAAAAGATTTAAAGACATTCACAAAACTCAGAAAACAGCTGAAACATGGAAATGTCATAATGTAACCACCTGCTTTCTTGGTATTTGTGCCATTAGATTCGAGTGACGTGTTGTCTTTTGTTTTTGTTTTTTTAGGTGATGCAGAGATTGTCTTCCTTTTTATCAAAGGCTTGTCATCCGAGGAGTCATCTGAAGCTACAATGGGAGAAGATATAAACATACAAAATTTTAGTTCTCTTTGCTTTCAGTGGTCACAAATATTCATTCATGTCCATAACCGCTTATCCTCTCGAGGGTCGCGGAGGGCTGGAGTTTATCCCAGCTGGCGAGAGGCAGGGTACACCCTGGACAGGTCGCCAGACTACCGCAGGGCTGACACACAGAGACAGACAACCATTCACGCTCACATTCACACCTACAGCCAATTTAGAGTCACCAATTAACCTATCCCCAACCTGCATGTTTTTGGACTGTGGGAGGAAGCAGGAGTATCCGGAGAAAACCCATGCTGATACAGGGAGAACACGCAAACTCCACACAGAAGGGCTCCCGCCTGGGTTCGCTGTGAGGTCCCAGTGCTAACCACTACACCACCTTGCCGCCAGATCACAAATATGTCAAGCTTTAAACATTTTACTTCAACTTACATTATTGCTGACAGTTTGTCAACATAGCAAATGCAGATGCTTACACACAGGTGCAGTGCATGTACAATTAAGCTATTAACATTCAATCATGTTCTGTGGTATGTACAAAAATGCAGGGCAGGCCCAGGCAATTCTGATTTTTTTGTATCAAGATTGCAAGAGAAAAAGATCAATGTGACTCTGGAAAAGGTTTTGTTGTTGGGGCATGGAAGACAGAAGCTTCAGATACAAAGACTGCTCAAGTGGCTAGGGTTTTAATAGGAACAGTGACTTAAGTGACACCTACATTTAGATCTGTGAGAAAGACATCAGTAAATAAGGCCACAACTTGTGGTTGACAGCACACATTTTATGACCATGATGCTTGTGTATTAGTGCGATATGAGAGGAAAAAATAGTAGAGCAACTCTTCTCAGGTGACTGAGAATGTCACTGTAGGATGTGATCAGACTTTGTCAGCAAAACAAGTCCATCAATAACCACAAAGAGAGGAATATTACAGTAAAGTTGCAGTGCATAAACCCCTCATTCCAAAGATTAATGCACATTTGAGAGTTCAGTTGTGCAAAAACCTACTGGTCAACAGTGATGTGGAAAATAAAGTGATCGTCAGATGAGTCATCCCTCACATTCTTTACAAGTGGGTGAGTGCATGTGTGGTGTACACCAAGAGAACAGCAAAGGCCTGAATACTTTACCCCTGCATAGGTGTTTCACACTGCTCTTAGTCAACGCAGTTAGCCTAGGAAGCAGTTAGCCTGGGACCGAGAAGGCATTCACACTGGCACATCCTCATGCATCCCAAGTGGGCTAGCCCCAACTTTAGCCTAGGGCTTGCTAAATCTGCTCCAGAGCAGGGTTAGCCCCAAATCTGCAGGATTATCCCCTGAAAATGGATTTAATCCAGGTCTAAAAATTGCCAGCGTAAAAGAAGGCTGAGTAAATAATTTAATTTTAGAATTTTAACACAAGTTACGTGTTTCAGCTGAAATTTAACCTAGGGCTTGCGGATATGCCATGTAAGTCATATAGACCTGGGCTTAGGTTAACCATGGGTTAATAATGTGTGTGTGAAAAGGGGCTAAATTAGTCCACAGTCAACTCAAGGATGACCATGGATGACCTTAGCCCTTTATCCTTTTATGAAACATTTCTATCCCAAAGCAAATGGTTCTTCCAGGATGACAATGCCACTCATACCATCCATAGGGAATGAGGGGCCACTGAATGGTTTGGTGAGTATGAACATGATGTGAATCATATGCTATGGCCTTCATAGCCACCAGGTCTCAACCCAACTGAACACCTATGGGAGAGTTTGGACTGCCGTGTTGAGCAGCGCTTCCCACCACCATCATCAAAACACCAAATCAGGGGGTCATTTTTGAAAGAACGATGTTTATCTAGAAACAGAAAGGGTGCTTATTCCTCCAGTGACTTCAGAGACTTGGACACCAATGCCAAGGCACACTGAAACTGTTACGACAGCACATGGTGGTCCAACACCTACCAGAGACCCTTAATGCTGGTGTTTCCTTTAAATTGTCATCCGTTTGTCCTATTAGCTACTTCTACCGTTCAATCAGGTAAAGAAGGGGACAACAATTGGCATAGTCGTAGTTTACTGGCAGTTTTGAGCAGATTCATGACTTATCACAAGTAGAAATGGCATATTAAGTAATCTCACATATCATTTTGATCTCTGTTTGGTCTAAAATGGCGGCAACGCAGATCTTGTTATTGTAACGTTTATATTTATAAGCTAATTTAGCTTTTAGCTAGCATTACAACGCAGTCCCATTAAACGTCTGCCTCCTCAGCTATAACGTACGCTAATTAAAAACAACATTGTTAGTCTAACTACCTGGAGAGTCGTGAACCACAATACTGGGCACGTCAGCTGTGCTGCAGTCCATTTTTATTTTTTTTTTCTCTCAAGTCATGACTGTGAAATGGTCCCGCTTCAGGTTTAGATTAGTTTCTTCCGCTTCACTCTCTTTAGGGAAGGCGCAAGGCGTTTTTCTTCTTCTTCTGTTTTTTTGACGGGTTACAACCTCATGGTAAAAAGGTGCATTCCGCTAATGACCGCCACCCACTGTATCGGAGTATGTACTTTGGTATGTTCCTGTCCCAGCATATCCCCTGTGAAGTCCCCAGGTGTTACTTTTTTTACAGTGGAAAAAAGAGATACAGTACTCTTTGCTTTAGTATTTCCATTTTATGCAATTCTTTTGTACTTTTACTCCACTATCTTTGCCCAAAGCTTTAGTTATTAGACTAGATAAAAGCCATACCAATCAATGGTTAAAGAAGACAATTTGTACCCTAAGGTCTCTGCTAGGCTGAGGCAGCTTTACATCAAAGGAATTTACTTCTGTGGCAATAATTGTGCAAACAGAGTTATTAGAAACTTTTTCCTAAAGGCATGTTTCCCTAACCCAGTAAAAAGAAATTATATTCTCAAGGAATTTGATGTTGAAGAAGTTAAAAAAAAAAAGAAGAATTTCATTTCCACTTCCACTTCCTCCAATGGAGGAGGAGAGGTGAAATTCAAAATTTTAAATGAAATTTATCTAATGAAGAAATTCTTAAGATTGAGATACATTTTTGGTACATTTACAATTGTACATTTTGAGAAAGGGAGATATTAATTTTTCTATTGTAAATCAGTGCAGTACTTCTGGAGTGACATGCAGTGTTGATATTGAGTTGTCACCTTTGACAGTGAAGACAGAATAACAAAATAAGGTTGTGGACTTCGTTCTCAATATTGTCTTTTCACTGGGGGAATTTTTCATTCATAAAGATACTTGAAGACTAAATGCAGTTTGAACCATTGGAAGAATGAGTTAATCAATGAAACTTGTTAAAGACAAGCAAGCTCTTAAATTGTTTTCATTACTAAATATATTTAAGCTAATTTAAAAAAAGCCCTGTTTTTGTTTTATTAGTATGTTTTCTATATTTTTATTTTTGTGCTATTTCTATCATTTTGTATATGGTTTTTATATGTGTTTGCTCAGCCTGAGGCAGAAGCTATGTGATGAACAGGACTTGAAAAAGTGCCTTGTTTATTTGTAGCCTACCTACAAAGTTCAGTATAGAATTAAAAAAAAAAAAAAAAAACAACACTTTTTCATATCCTTATAGGCCTACATATCCTTTATAACTGTATGGTTCAACATTATTTTTCTACTTACTGTGAAGTAATATTTACATATTTTTATATATCAATGCTACAAACTACCATGTGTGTATTACAATTACCCTGAGCAATCATTCATCATGGACATACAATATCTGCATGAGCAAAGTGTGTATAACCCATAACTGTTTATGTTATTATTTTTTTAATTCCTATTTTATTTTACTTGTTTTCTTATTTGTAGTACTTTTTCATTTTGCTTTTGTCTCTTGAGTTGCTGTAACGATTGACTTTCACTGGTATGGGATTTTAAAAGACTACCTCACTTTATCTTGTTTTGAATTCAGAGCTTTTACTTGTAGTGGAGTACATTAAAGTTAAACCAGAGATGGTTAAACATTCCTTGGTCACATGTGGCCTACTGAAAAACTGACCGTATCCGGCCGTGACGTGTATTATCCGTTGCCACAGTAACCGTTTGTTTTACATTTGACATTTGAGAGGCAAAATTAATGACGACACATTTGGCCGTTTTTCAACCACAAGTAGTACGGTAAGATCAATATTTATTTGTTTGGTTGGGTTTTTTTTTTTTGCCGTATTGTGTGTAATGTCTTTTTGGGTAAAGTTGTAACGCTAGTGAAAACCGGTGTCCGTCTCAAACCGAGTTACAGTAACGGCCACCTTAATTTCGAAGCTAGCTAACGTGAAATGCTAGCAAGTTGTAAAACTCTAAAAATGTATAATGTCAGCAGTCTTGGCTAACGTTACATGACTAGCTACTATTATAGTAAAAGATCAGAAGGTTAATTTTATTTGTCATTTTACAACACAGAGTTGAACTACAAAAAATGAAAGCAATAGCCTACAACTGCATATAGTTGTGTAACCTTGAAACAAGAGAGACTTGTGTTTGTAGGACTAATGTTATATCGAGTCATATGCAGGTTTAAGGGGTGTACCCACCTCTTTTTCTAGGCATTTGCAATATCCCCACCTATCAGCTAATAAGCAGTTGTAAAGGAGAGTAAACCCACTTGCTCCTCAGCAACCTACCCATCCAGTAATGCACTCATCTCATCAATTACTCCACTGAGTATATCTATCATAATGTAATCTCTCAGGACAGATTATGCAATTGTAGTTGTAAAGGAAGAAAAAAAACAAGGTTTGTTTTTTGTTTTTTTTTTACCGATGGATTTCCAGATTGATCATAATGTAAATAAGGTAGGAGACAAAACAAAACAAAGCAAAAGTTTAAAATATTTTTTGACATGACATTATTATTTTCTTTATTTTACATTAAATTACATGTTATATATTTAAAGACATCACTTTACCATTAACTTAACCCACTATTCAGTATCTGGATAGGGCTTTTCAGATATCATTTTGTAATGTTCTCAATGTTCAGTGCTTTTTCAATTTAACTAAATATTTGCACAGGGTGTATTTAAGTGTTCATATTTCTTTCTCACATTTCTAACATAGATTATTGGGTCTCTAATAAAACCTGTATAGTCTGATATGCTTTCTCAAATGGTTCTGAAGTGTTTCCAGTTCTCAGTCACCACAAGCAGCCACATTTTTCCCATTTCCTGATTTTGTTTTTCCTACCTGCCTACACTGTCAGTGATAAACCACCTGGGACGAACAATGTCTGTCCCGGATCGCAGTTCCCGGCAGGGTGTTGGACCCAATCTTGTGAATATTGATGCTGTGCAGAACCACTCCGAGCTCTTCAGAGCAGACTGCATGAGGCTAATGCAGCAAGCTGACAAAGCATGCAAACTAATGCAAGGTGATGACAACAGGCGACTAGGTAAGTAGGAGAACACAAATTAGGTGATCTGTAGCACTACAGGATGATGTTATAAAGATTACAGAAGTGGACTGTTGTGTTTTTTCCTCTGATGTTCAGATCAAAGAGTCAGTGATATCCAGTATCTGAAGAAGGAGTTGGAACTGCAGTTGGAGGAGATTATTGTGGAGATTGATGTCCTTATAGCACTGCAGAGCAGAGTGGTAAAAGCACTGGAGGCCTGCAAAGAGCCTCTTACAGTCACCACTCTATGTCTGGAGGAGAGGTTAGGCTGAATCTTGAACAATCAGAAGACAAAAGCATAATATTTTGCTATTGTACAACTCAAAGTTCATACATCTCACCCTTTATTAGATTTGGGAGCTATTGTTAGTTTTCAATAACATGAAGTTTCCACACCACTTTCACTTACTATGAAGTGTACATATGAGAAACAAACAACTTGCTGCAGCGGTAAAGATAAGCAGATGAGTAATGTTCTTTTTGTTCTGTTGCCTGCAGAATGAAACGTTTCCCCTCTGATAGGCTACGTGACGATGTGGAAAGAGAGCTGCTAAAGGAGAAGGAGGTTATTGAGGGAGCAGCCTCTCTTCTGCAGAGTGTGTTAGAGCAGATCACTGAGCAGATACGGTAAGAAAGATGGACTTCGACTATATAGACTGTGCTTGACTTTTTTTGAAACCTGGAAGGAAAATCAAATAACCAGATATGGTTGCCATTAAAAAAAAAAAGACAAAATATGTTATTTTGTGTTCCAGATTGAACCGATCTGCCAAGTACCATCTAGAGAAGGATCTGAAGGAGAAATCCAAGGCTCAGTGCATTGATAATTCCTGTGCCTTAAGGACTACCAATACCATCAACAACCTGCAGATCACCAATACTGAACTGCCGAGGTGAATTGATATGTTCTCGTTTTCTCCATAAAGACAGGAAAACTATATAACGTCTGTGAAAAGGCAGTTTTCAAGACCCTTTAAAATTATTTGAAATTAGTTGCATTTTCTATACAGATCTGGGAAGAGCAAAGACATTTTGTTAGTTCCAGGTCCTCATACTGTACGTTTTTTAAACTTCTCCCTCTCTCAGCTTGACAGTGACTCCAAAGCAGTGGGAGAAAATCTCAGACCTCAACATTGCCAAAGCAGTGCAGCAGAAAACCAACTCTGTGTCCCTGCGGGCCCAGGTGGAGTCTGTTCTGGAGCAGACAGCCACTGACATGCAGAAGCAGGTCCAGGACACAGCAGCAGCCCTCCAGCTGAATATCCAGAGGATCAAGTCTGCCAAGAGCCAGATGGAAGATAAACTTACCAAGGTAGCACAGATGAGTGTATGTTATATATTTGGCAGAGAGAAAGAGAGCGTGATGGGAAAGGAAACAAAGTCAGGTAGATGTTACAGTAAATGTCAGTATTGAGTTTTGTATTAACATTTGAATATTAGTTGGCTAGTGATGATTTTTTCATCAAAGGGGAACTCCTTTTTTTTCAATCTGGACCAAATTGTCATATGTTTTTATGTTTAAGTGAGTCATGGGAACAACCATTTTTTAAACTGGTCCAGTATTGAGGTAGGGCTGCAGCTGGCAGCTGCGAAACAGGCCACAATGTAACCATCCGGGGCAGGTAGGTAGGTAGGATGGATGGGTGGGTAATAATGTGGTTGATTATTTGAATAGAAGTTTTGTGTCATTGGCCTAATAGCTTGATTTAAGTTTCCTATTAATTTATTATGAATTGAAAATACTAGATGAGCCTGGTGTGGTGTGACACCTCTACCCCTATAGATTCTGTCTGAGTTTGCAAACCAGCAGAGGATTCCTGAGGATCTGCAAGTGGCCATCACAAACAGTGAACAAGCTTTAAGTTTGGCCCAGGCCCGCCTGGCTTTGCGCTGGCAGAGGCCTGGCAAAGAGCAATGCCATGATCCAGCACAGTCCCAGCTCCTCGCCGAGGTCCAGCAGCTCACCACTCACATCAACAAGTAAGGCCAGGACACACTCTTCTCTGATGTAAAAGGTCAAGGCAACAAATGTTTTCAAGAGGAATACAGTGAATTATGCCAGTGTTGACACACATACACACATTATTATATCTGTTAGTTTACAAACTACCCAAGAAATCTAGAAATAAATACAACAAATGGGAAGAATTCAAGCGTAATGTTTATGCAAATGGAAATTTTAATAAGTCAAAAAAGTAAAAATGTAACGAGTGTAAGAAAGCATATGTAACGGCATAATGAAGATTTTCAAATAGTGGATGACGTGGCTGATTATAAAAGATTGTCTTTCTGTTTTTAATATTGTACTTCCCATACTGACATATATATTGTTTAGAGATATAATCATTTAGGACAAGCAGTTATGTGGTGTCTCTTTATCTCTGCACTCTCAGACTGCGTGAGGCGACGTCTCAGTCAGAAGAGGAGCAGAGGGCTCTAGTTCGCTGCCAGCTGGAGCTGCAGGAGAGCATTGAGATCAAGGCCAATTCTCTCTACATTGATGAGGTCATCTGTACCCATCACAGGGAGCCCATTATCATACATAACTTCTGAGTAGTCAGACATTCTACCTACATACACATATTATTTATTCATATAAACTCAGAACAAAAATTTGAACACAACACTTTTGTTTTTGCTCCTGTTTTTCACGTTTAAATAAAAGATCTAAAAAAAAGTTTCTGCAGACAAAAGAATCATTTCTCTCAAATTTTGGTCGCGTATTTGTTAAAATCAGTATGAAGGAGCACATCAATCAATCATTAATAATTATTCATAATTATTCAAATTGTTGCTAAATAATTTTCTCCCTATCAAATAATTGATTAGTTTCTTGTTTCAGCTCTACTGATATCTTTAGTCAGAACAGTACTGGAGAGTCAGCCTGTTAAAGATTGGCATAAATCTTAACTGATAAATATTTTAGCACTGATTTGTGGAGCCAAATATTGATCCATGGTTGAAAGTGGTCAGTATGGCAGTTGATAGCTCAGTTTATTACACACATACAAGATAAATACTCAAACACTGTAATGCTGGACAAACAGGACATGATCATTGAGATGTACAGATCCAGACAGAGATATGACATGTAAAGCTTCATTAGTCAACATTAATCACAGAAAGTGAGGACAGTGTTGTGCTGTTCCCAAACCTCATTGTTCAGGAACTAATAAAGAGAAACGTGGAGAGCTTATTTCCTCCTTTGGTTGCTGTTTTTTTAATCCATTTCAACCAATCACAATCATTATCACCTTTTATCATTTTCTGCTAGGTGTCGTTGTCTTGATCACATCCCTGAGATAGTAAGGGGACAATCTTCTGATCACACTCAGTCCTACAGAGAATTCATCTTGTCATACACATAACTATTTATTTAATTTCTTACTGTTTTTAAATCAAAAGTGCTACCACAGAAGTATTTCTACTATACATCTCACCGTTTTCCCATTTCACTTCACCCTTTGTACCAACCATGATTAGACAACTGAGAGTTAACCAATGTTTCATGCAACCCTAATCTCTCTCTCAAAAAAATCTGACTATTTCATCACAGAAGTGCTACGTACACCACTCATTACACTCAACTTAAAGGTAACATCCTGTTTTCCAGCACAGCAGACCCAGACAGAGCTGCACAGGGATTATCCATTATTCATGCATTGTTATTCTTTTTGCATTTCTTCACCAACAAATGTTTTACCAGCTGGATTTTTGATATAAATAATAAAGCGCTTCTGTTGTGTAAAACATATAGAGCAGGGCCCCGGAAAGCCCGACTTGACCCCGCTATCAGAGAGTGACAAACAGCGTCTTGCTGATCAGACACGTCACAGTACAGTGAAATATCGTTTAGAGTGGAGCAGTTCAGGGTAATGCAGTCCAGGTTGTTTAACGGTCTGTTGCTCAGTGCAACCCGTGTGTCCATGCTGGTGTTTGTGAGTGCTCAGGGACTGACAGAGTTCAGATGGCAGCCATCTTGCTGGCCTCTCTGACCCCACTCAGGTATGCTCCTGTCACAGTCTGAGGGAAATGTCTGTTGGTGGCCTGGTAACAAAAACCAACAACAAATTAATTGAAAAACAGCAAAAATATGTTTTAAAGTTTGCAATTTGAAAACTTCGTAAAGATGAGTAAGTTGATGAATAAAATTAACGATGGCTAACTTCTGTTTCAGCTGTTTCAGTTTCAGGGTCCTGGTATTGTGCATGCTTAGTGTGCATGCTTCTCACTCTTACAATGTCATGGCTCACTGTTTGTGACAGTTGAATAGAACAGAGCCATCTTTAATGTTATTAGAGATACCTGTGCTTTATCTTCTTTGTCTACTGTGAAAAGGCCTGTTAATATGGAAACTTAAGTGGGGAAAACTCCAAATGATCAGTAGCTTTTCACCAATAATACTGTCCACATCAAATATTTTTTCATTTTCACTTAAATTAAAGACATTTCAAGACACATTTGATTAAAAAAATGGTAAAGACAGCATTACCTCTCCAGCAAAGAACACTTTTCCCTGCACGTCTTCAGCAAGGATGTCATAGGCCTCTCCACTTCCCCCTGTCTTCACAAAGCTGTAAGACATCTGGGACCACATGTCTTTGCCCCAGTGTGTGACAAAGAAATTCAGCGGTTCTGGGACCTCCTGTAAATGTTGACAGATGGTAAATAACAACAACATTTATAAAAAAAACAAAAACTAAAAATACAAGAAAATCTGGAAAAAATATGGATAAAAAGGTAACAAGTGTATTTGATGTTAATAGAAAATGTGCCACATAAAGTACTGACTTCATGTGTTTTGAATGTTTTTATACAGCAAGAGCCTTTTTAGGAACTCAGGGATTTTACCTGCATTTAGTCTGAAGGAATCAGGGTCTAGGTTTAGTTCCTGGACTAGTTCTTAGCCCATACCTTTGTATAGCTGTTCTGTTCAATTAATGGTCCAAGACCTATCATGGTGGAGGTTTACATCTCCTTTTTAACAACCATTCAAACATCAGAGTCACACAGTACTAAGTTACTTACAATCACAAAAAAGCAAAAAGGTATGTCTTTACAAGCAATCACTTTTCAGGGGTCTATATTAATTTGAAAAGTGACTTTAGCTCCTGGGACTATTACGTTGAAAACAACATTTCTGTGCCTCACTTCTTATTGCTTTTATTGGTGGTCTTACTGGTCATAATTCATCAGTTACCTTGTGACAACATTACCTGCTCTTTGAAAAGTTCACGCAGGACCTTCATGCACTCATCCACCACCTCCTTGTCTTCCATGTCTCGGACAGTAGGTACAGCATCACCAGTGATGACAGACATGAGGACAGCCTGCTTCCCCTACACACACACACACACACACACACACAAAAGACAGCATTATGCACATTATAATCAAGATGTGGTCAAAATGTAAAATCAAGAAATGTCCTTCTCTTTTTGTCCTCTATGTTTTTGTATTTTCTGTGTTTTTGTTATGCTGCTGACAGCACTCAAAATAAGTACTGTTCTTGTAGTTAGGCTTGTATTTAACATTAATAAAGTAGAACCTCTTTTAGTGATCATGCTTGTCCAGGTCAAATTGACCACCATAAGCTGACAGTTATGAAAAACTTTTTTTTTTCTTTTTCTGTATTTCTCATCTAAATGACATTTCCAAATTTATTATACGAATATAAATGAATGAGGTGCCTTAAGTTACTGAGCATTGTCAATCCACTTGACATGGGCAGTCTCAACCAAAGGTGCTTTCTCCGCACACATTTGTTTCCTGTCTTCATCACTAGCAGCCATGACTGTTTTTCATTGTTTGTTGTTCACTGTGGTTCAATCTTGTCTTTCCTGGTAGAAACAGGTATCTTACGCACCAGAGTATTCAATAATAAGACATGCTTCGCAGTGAGATACTGTCTTGCCGTGTAGGTAAAAATTAGGAAAAACAAACCTGTGGCTCCATGTCATAGAAGACACTGAACATGCCTCTCTTGTCAGGACTTGGTGGTATGTGACCAAAGTAGTCTGCCCCCTGGATTTTGTTGTCCCAGAATCTGTACGGGAACTGAAGAGCGATCTAAAAGTAATTATAGAATAAGATTTTAGCATCTACAAGGAAGCTACTTTGTATTTGGCCACTGTAGTTATTTTGCCTTAAGATTAAACATCCAGGGGTCTGTACATATTTACCACCATGAATTCAACATCAAAACAGTTCTCACTTTTTCTATGATACCAGCTCCCAGACTGTGGATTGCTTTCAGTTTCCTTTCAGGAAGTGGAGGGTTGAACTGAATGAAGTTCTTCTGCAGCAAAGTCAATGGGACCGTAACAAGAACCTAAAAGTGGAGAGGGTGTAAAAACTCAATGTGTTAATTAGCACCGTACACATCCTACATTGTCTGACATGATACATTTTCTAGGATAAAGTCTTGAAATGACAGAAATTATTATATACATTTTAAAACATTTCTGAACATGTTTTTACCTTCTGTGCTGTCCACTGGGACCCGTTAGAGGAGGTAACTTTGACAACATCACCTGAGTAATCAATGGCCTGAACCTGGAATTGAAAAACAAAATGTACATCTGACTTTGATTTTTAACATTGGGGTTTATCCCTGTATTCAACGTAGTGTAAGAAAGGTAAAAGTAGCAGCTGAAATTAAAAGACTGAAATACAAACCGAGCACTTTGTGTGGATGTTGAGGCCCTCGGCAAGCTTGTGGAGTAAAGCAGAGTAGCCCTTTGTGAGTAAAGTGTGGTCTCCTGAGAACTGGGCGAAAAACTCATTGTGGTCCCAGGATCTTGCTGATACCTACAAACAAATATAACAGAGAACATTTTCATCACAATTTCCTTGAAAACACCTGTCAAAACACACATACAAAATGTCACAATATGTGCAAACTGCAGACACGTCACCAGAGTTCTCTTAAAATGTTTCTTTTCAAAAGGGTATGTTCAGTATTTTTCAACCTGGACCCTTTTTTCCATGTTTTTGTGTCTAAGTGACCAGTGGAGACAACAATTTTTGAAATTGGTCCAGTATTGGTTGCTGTGAAACAGGCAGCAATGTAAGCACTGAGGGCATGTTCACACTGTCAGTTTACATCCACTAAAAGTCCTTGTTTTGCTACCGACAGGCTTAGATTATTATTTTAGGTGTGTGACAATATTACGGAAAGGATCCCTACAGAAACAGACTTTTAGCCACAAATTCTCTATCATCAAACCCACATTACACCATTAAAATAAACAGCAATTTTACTGTAAAATACACTTCTTTCAAAGTCGACAGAAACAAAGTAAAACTGACAAAAACTCTCTTGGTTCATCTTTCTGCTATTCTAACAATCACCAACTGTGTTTGGTTGAAATAAACTGTTAATTCACCCAGTTAGATGTGACGATATGCTGGCTCTATACACGCTAAAGTTACTATTTATTTAAATGGAGTCTGGTGGGTTTGATGCCGATTTCAAGGCTGTTTCTGGTTAAACAAAAAGGATCTTACTCATTAACAAAAAGGTCTTTCTCTGTATGGATTCTCTCCATAATGTTGTCAGACACTAAAAATAACAATCTGAGCCTGTCAGTAGCAAAAACAAGCACTTTCTGTGGATGTACATTGATGGTGCGAACATGCCCTGAGTGGTTACATTGCAGCCTGTTTCATGACTGCTGTCTGCAGCAGTCTTGCTCAACAATAGACCAACTTCAAAAATTGTTGCACCCATTAGTCTCTTAAACACATAAACATGGGAAATAGTGTCCAGTTTGAAAACTACCAAATGTACCCTTTAAGACTGAATAATTTTCTGTTACAATGACTCCATACCTTAAATACACAGACACATGCAATGTTGTTGTCATCTGCTTTGGTGATTGCTTTTCTGATTCTACATCAACAGGCAGAAATGTGGGATGTACTCATAACAATAAACCAGTTTGAATTTTCCTCATCAAAAGTTTTTGGTGTCAACGGACACTCACAAAAATTGTGAAGCCCTTTAGTGTGTTAGTTTCCACACCTGGTCTAATGTGCTTCCACAGGCGAACTCGAGATTGCTAAGATGAAACTGAAGCACTTTCTCCTCCAACTCACTGAACTGGATTCCAGACTCTTGAAGAAAGTTCTTCTTCACCTCCTGGACTTTTTCTGTGAGATAAAATGCACAAAACTAAAAGGTCAAATACCTCTAAACACTGAAATTCTGTTCTGGATGTTTTTATTACGGAAATAGTTTTTCTGAGTAACAAACTACTTCTGTTTTACTTTTCTAACCTTGCACTGTGTGTATTCACACTTGTGAACTGCCCAGCCATGACATCTGGAATTTATATGTAAATACATTTGTAAGAAGACATGAGAATGGCTGCTATTGTTGCTGCACAAAAAGGCAAAGTTGTCAGCTGGTTATGCAAGACAAAAGGAAAGCAATGGAGTTGTTCTTGCCTGACTTATCCACAACAGCTATGTGACAGTTTTCACCGAGATAGAATATTTCTTATCAAAAGCATTAAATGTGAACACAAAACATCATCACTACATTTTGATTTTGAAAGCCAAAAAAAGCTGAACCTCAGTGAACCTCACACTTTAGATTAAAACAATCATGTTGTGTTTGGGGATATAAAAGGTTCAGCACCTCTCAGCGGTGTGTCCTGGCTCTGGGACTTGTCCTTCCTCCATTCTGACACCACGTCCAGGATGGCATTGAAGTGGAAGTCCATGCGCTTATCAATGGCCGGGTCAGTGACCTGCCCCCCCTCCTGAAAGAGGTCACATCGCTCTCCCAGCTTGTGCATCTTGATGCCCATCTGCAACACAAGAGTGAAGAGTCCTGAATAAAAATTCTAGAGTCACGTATGAAGACACCACAAGACAGTGCATTTGCAAGATCAGTTTAATGTACAGCACAAATATGTAGAATTCTTTACAGACTTTTCAGCTCTTAAAAAAATCATACCTGTTCACACATCAGGGCGATGGGGTTGTTCACACAACCATTGACAATTTGAGCTCCTCGACCAACAGTGACGCCCAGAGAAGTATCATCCCACACACGACCTCCAATTCTCTCCCTTGCCTCTAGCACCACCACCTGTAAACCAATGAAAATAAAGAGTGTAAAGGGAAAGCACTGTGACCAGCAAACAGGGCAAAGTAGGAGATCAGCGAAGGTGTGTGACAGCAACTAACTTGAGCCCTCAACAGTTACCTGAGTGCCGAAGTTTTGCAGCTGTCGTGCAGCAGCCAGCCCTGAAGCCCCAGCACCGATTATGATAACGTTCCTCTGCAAAAAGATCAGATGTGGGAGATACTGTGAGTATACTATATACACTATATACACTGTTAAAATGTCAGTTGTTCATATTACACGTGGCCAAAGTCTCAAATAATGAGATATGAATGGCAAACTGGCCTTTTTTGGGACGTGGGGCTTTAAGAGACAGAAGCTATAACAGATTGTTTCAGAGAGAGGGTGAATACAGGTGTTCTAGCACATACAGTAAGAGGAAAACGAGGTGTTTTTTGAACATTAAAACATGTAAACATGTTCTAGTAGAAACCCAAAATACAAGAATGAACCTAAAAATGAGCACAATAGGGCCCCTTTAAGCAAAGATGAGGACACTCACAGAGCAATGTTTTTCAGGGAGCAGAGGCCGTTTCACTGCCAGCACACCAGTGTTGATGAGGCCCTTCCTGGTCATGAAGTGGAGCACCCGGTCCATCTCCTGCACACAGCGCACTCGCACCAACCCCCGTACAATGATGTGCAGAGCACATTTCTGGGAAGTCAGCACCTCCTTTTTAAAAACAGGAAACACTGTCAATTGTTCTGATTGTGTGGTGATTTTGGAGTCTTATCATTACTTTTGTATATTCCAGGTCTTAAAGGTGAAAACATGAAAAACATGCAGTTTTTGTAAGTCACTGTTATTTACAGTGTACCTTGCAATTCTTGTGCCAGGAAGCCAGAATAAGGTTACGCAAAGCCAAATACATGGTGGGATCTCGGGAAAATTCCGGAAACTCATAAAGCTCATCCAGCTCCATCATATCCGGACGAACACACAGAGCCTTGCCACACTCATTAGGCTGGTAGAAGGGCTGGAAGTATGGACACAGGCCTGGAACTGAGGGATACAATCATGATTACAACACCACAGGCTATTGTCTCTAAATAGGAGGCTTACAATACAGCGGCATATTAGGGCCATTGTAGGTGAAAAAAAAGAAAGAAGAAAATATGGAGCCAGGGAGGGAGGGAGGGTAATAGTCCAAGAACAAAACTTAGATTTTCAAAGATTAAAGAGGTAAATTTTTGAGAGAAAAAACTTAATGTATTCTCTGGTATTATAGTCATAAATTTCCATGAGCAAAAAAAAAAAAAAACAGAAATTCTCTGATATTAAAGTCACAAATTTGTGAGAAAAAAAAATCAGAAAAAATGTGTTGTTTTTTTGGCAACAAATCCCATCACTTAACTTTGAAAGGTTGGATCAACCTCATCACACCACCAACACCACCATTTGCTGTGGTATAATCCCTGCAGTGGATGACCTAATCAAGTTACACTTTGCAATCCAGCTGCCCCAGGTGTATCTGGACCCTTAACCAGTATCATCTGTGGTGTGATGAGGTTGATCCAACCTTGCCAAGTAAAGCAATGTGGTTCCTTGATAAAAAATAAAATTAAAAAAACACTTTTTTCCAATAATTTCTTGCAAATGTATGACTTAATAATCTCAAAAAATATATTAATTTTTTTCTTGTAAATGTACGACTTTAATCTTAGCAATTTTTACATGTTTTTCTGAATGTAACTCTCTCCACCTAGCTCTGTAATTTCATGTTTGTTTGTTTTGTTTTTTTTACTTACAATGGCCCTATTACGTCCACAGAGAACAAGAATAAACAATGGCTCTCTCTCACTCATCATGTACTTCTCTCATACAAGTCTAGGAGCTGCATCATGTAGCTGCATCTCTCTCCTCTCATACCCAAAGACTTACTTTGTGGCTGGACGGCTCTGCAGTGATCGGTCCTCAGCTCAGACAGAGAAATGTTGCTGGGAGAGCCTGATGGGCTCATCCCCACACAGTCGGGGTAGTAGGCAGCGAGGAATGGGCTGGCTGGACTGTCTTTGAATAAAGGCGGCAAAATCAACATTGAATGCCACCAGCTGTCAGTCACCTCTGCCACTCTCTGCAAGAATGAAAACAGTATGTGATCAAAGAGGATGCATGTCATCAAAGGTGGTTCAAGGGCACACATACTGGATCCATTCTTTGGAACTTATTCAAATGAATTGTCGTTGTTTCAGTCTTTGCATGAAGCAAGGCTTTCATTTTGTGATAGTTGCCATGATTCAAACACGTAATACACAAATCACTGTCTTACCAAGTCCTCGGGTTGGGAACACTGATCTGGTCCCTCACTCTGCAGGCAAAGACACAAAATCATCATCACAAAAAAAGCTGAATGTGACTGACTGGTTGATTCTTTTTCCATTTCCTGTTTACCTTGATGTTGTTGAACTTCATTCCACAGCGGTACGTTGCTGCTAGGGAAGCAGTGAGTTGGATCTCCTTGGTTAGCTGACGCCACTTCCTACAGTCTGGTTTAGTACACTGAACCTGAAACAAACATATTGCAATTAACACTGGGCAGATACTATTTGCATCCAGGTGTCCATAGCCAATAGTGCCATTTACACACAAGTGTAAATACCCAATGTAGCTATTTAAACTCAGGTGTATATTCCTGGGCGTCTTGCATCACTGAAGTATGACATGAACATGAATGGGTCAATTCAGACATTCTGCTAAAGTTTGTGGACACAGTATGTATTCAGCAGTTTTATACGCCCTAAAAACTGAAATAATAAGACAGCTAAGTCTAAAAAATAATAAGCTCACTCACACAGGACCCCAGTCTCCTGTGTGAAAGCTCCACAGTACATTTGTGAGTTTGTTTTTGTAAATTTACCAATTTAATCTCACAGAATATCTGAGATTGGCTAGTACTAGCCCTAACCATGACTTCATTGCCCTAATCCTGACCACTTCCAACCCCTATGCATCAACTTGACCAGTACTAGCCAATCACGGCATGCTGTAGGATCCATAATGACACATTCCAGGTATGAGTGTAAATACCCGAAAAGGAGCAGCGTGACTGTTCTCGCCTGGATGCAAATTGACACTCAGTGAACACTCTTGTGAACTTACAACAACCATGCGAAACAATTTGATAGGAACCAGGATATATGCCCATTCTTACCCAGTATGGTAGCTGCTGATCTGCCATGAAAGCTTTAAGACTGGGCTCACTTTTCCCATTACTAGTCCAAACCTTCTTCCACGAAGCAAATACCTCATAGCCATCTTTGTGACTGCAAAGGGCGAAAAAGAAAAAAAAAGATTAATCTTGCTGCCTTGATTGCAACAGAGCTTTAAATGTCACCATGGGAAAAACTGAAACATGTTTGTTTATTAATGTTGTGAGAGTAGTTGTTCTGTCAACTTTACCTTCTGTAGTAGTGATCAAAACATTCGTTGCAAAAATGCTCACCACAAGACAGGTGATACCAGCGAGATGTGTATCCATTTTTAGCACACCTGAGGAGAGACAGAAGAATTCAAAACAATCTTTATTTTAAAAGAAGAGTGACTGAGTTAAGATCTGATTCATATAATACCAAGAAACATGTTACCTTTCAGATGCACTTGCAAAACAAACTGGGTATGTGGCAGAGCATCCAGCCTTCTCACACTTTCTGTACTTTTTCTCAGACTGGTCATCTTCCTCCTCTGTGTCTGTGGCTTTTCTTTTGCTCTGAAAGAGAGTGTGGAGAAAATCACCACAGAGCTCAACTTTATACTGGAGATTCCTTGATCCAACCAGTCAAACAGACTTTAAATTTGGGGGGAAAAGGAGGAAAAAGTTTGATCAGCGTATCCCCTCTTTTAACACAACACTGTTGTTCTGACATGCTGACAGAAACCGAACAAAAGACAGGAGAAGGAAAGAAACAAAACAAACAATCACATGTTAAGCAAACATTAGGTTTATAGAGGAAATACAGGGGCAGGTTAGGTTTGTTTTTTGAAGTTGAAGACATTTTTTTTAGCCAATTTTGTTCCATTGTATTGGTTCCTGCTAATAAATCAGCTGACAAATAACAAGAAAATGAAGTACAGAAATGCCAAAGGTAATTTTGAGACAGTGTCTCCATTACATCATCCACTTTCTTCCTCTTATCTGGGGCCAGATTGAAGGGGATTCTTTAATGCCTACGGTAGAGACATGACAGGAAATGGGAGGAACAAGTGTAGGGAATGACATGTAACAGAGAGTGCTCAGCCAGACGCTTACAAAAGACACTGTGGCTCATTATTGGTGCACCAAAGAAGGACATTTCTTCAACTTTAAGCTCCCTCTCCTTCTTAGTACGTATATTGGTCATAAATCTTTAAAAAGGGAAACTGTCAAAAATGTTTTCTTATATCACTATAGCCTAACAACTGAGCGGAGTACCCTGTAAACCACAACAGTGCCCCTTTCTTTTGGACAAGTGACTTAGAGCAGCTGAGCAAGTAACTTCTGGCTTAGCCCTCTTGAGTGGCCCAGCTCTTATACACCTTTGAAATGTTATCAGACCAAACTGCTCAAATCCCAATAGTGAAACGAGTCATTTCGTGGGGGTTGTGATGCTCACAAAAAAATGTATCCACTGATTTACACATGTCTCTTTCACTGTGTAAGTCTATGGGGAAAAGTCTTTTTGGGACCCATCATGTGATTGACCCAAAAGTTGTAATCAGATGTGTGGCCACAATGTAAAATTGGCTTCAAAGCCAATGTTCCTGGGGGCTTGGAAGCAGGTCTTCTTCCACAGCATCTGTCATGTTGCCTCTACAGTAGCCCAGAGCGGACAGACAAAACACTTGTTCTAGAAAAGGCCATTCGCTTTATTGCATTAGTCACCCACTTCCTCTAAATGCTTAACATGTTAAGAAGTTTCAGCTTCCTTCAGTCTCCAACTCTCCTGCTAGATGGCACTAATTCCTCACACTGGACCTTTAAAGCCAAAATGCCCCCCTAAATAATCTTTGGAAAAATAAATATCAGCTGATGTACTGTCATTGGCTTGTCTAAACTCTCAAATATCAGTATCTGCCTCAAAAACTCAGGATCGTTCGGGAATAAACAAATTGACATAACATTGAGGACCCAGTAGGAACCATGAGACATGATTGTGTTCAGCAGGCAGACAGGCTGAACACACATGCTGCAGTTTACCTGTCCAGGTGGAGGATTGTTTGTGCGCTTCACCCGGACATTGATCTGCCTCCCAGAGGAACGCAGGGTCTGGCCGTCCCCCGGGGACTCCCCGGAGCTCCTCTTCTTGGCTCGCCGAGCACCAGAGGCATTCCCGGAGTAGTCTAAACATTAGTGTCAACAATATATCTTTTAAGAATGGACAGTGCAATGTAGCTCAGTTGAAATGAGGCCTTTGTTGTGACTGATAGCGTCTCTTTCTAGGACATAACATGATGTTCCAATGTGTCCTATCAACGCAACTAATTACAAGTAGACCTAAGCGAATGAAACATGAGATTAATAACTGTGTAAACACAGCAAATGTGGCGACACATTACCAAGCTCTTTAAACCAGCCAAACAATGTCCGCCTGTCACATTTAGCATGTAGCAAAGATTAGCAGCGCGTTGTGAACACTGACCTGCATCCGACAGCATGACTGACTGTAAGGTTTCCTTAAGCCCCGGTGATTTAGTGGCGTTTGTGTGAGTTTCTGATACAGGTTTTTAATTGTTGATATTCGCCTCCCTTTTATTGTTGTGGGGGGGAAATCAATGCGCTGTTGTTGCGAGAATACCACTTCCTGTATTCGAGAGGAAATGGGCGTTTTGTTATAGGGTTCATTTTGGGCCGTGCTGCTCGCCGTACTACGCGGTAACTATGGCAACAGTAGTAACATTATACGCCGTTACACTCGGTGCGACGTCAAAAGGAGCCGAAACGGAGAGTTTGTGCAGATTTTTCTCGGAGTTTCGTCGCTATAACGTTAAACAACTCGAGCTGTTATTGGCAAACAAACACCGACGTTAGAAAGTAAAGTTGGACCTATTATTTATGTTAATAACAGATTCTGGACTTACGGTTAACCCAACTGGAGCCACAGCTCATGAGGCAAAATTCATAATAACCGACATTTTTTTAAAGTAAGACGTTGAAGCGAGAAGTTTCTCAACATTTGGACATGGATTCAAGAAAAGTTGTGCACAGAAGAAAACCTGACATTCATGCATCGGATAAGAACCAGCGTTCACAGGAGGTAAACAGTCTGTCTTTGTAGGGTTAACATAGCGTATTATACTGCTGAAGTGTCTCCTCTTGTTCTCTGTTAAAATTAATCAGTTTACAGAGGCAGAGGTAGGTGCAGTTTTGAGTAAATATAGCAATATCACAGTTTGAAAATACTCTATTACATTGAAACTCTTTCATTCAAAATCTTACTTAAATAAATGTATCAAGAAAAATGTAACAAAGGTAACTATTTACTATGCAGCCAACATGGGCTCTGTCGTTGTTACACTATATTATAACTATTTATAGAGCACTTTTCTGAACAATGACAAAAGTTTTAAAGTGCTTATTGAAAAAAAGACAGCAGATAAAAACCAAAACAACGATAAAACAACAATAACATGATATTTAAAGAGTAGACTGAAACTTGATACAATGATATCAATAAGGCAATTTGAAAAATTGGTTATAGGTTCCATTGATTTTAGGTGTAACTGTCTGACATTGTATGCTTGAGTTTTTATCATTTTATGCCTTTGCAAATGATATTTCAGAATGCATTAATTTATAATTGTAAATAACATTATAAATTATAATGTCATGAAGTTGTCTTCGTAAATATATATTTTTACATATCTGCATATAGTTTTATTTAATATGCCTGTATTTTATGCCTTTTTAAAGCTACACCAAGGATATTTAGAATGTGTATTTTATTCTTGCTATTTTATTACATATATCTATGTTATCCCCATTACCATTATCACCTTATTTATTTATTTCACTTTGTACTCAGGTCTTACTTGTAAATGAGATCTTGATCCCAATGTGACTTCCTGATTTTATATATATATATATATATATATATATATATATATATACATACATACATGTGTATAATACTACTTCTTTTTTTATTTAAAGTAGCAAACAAGAAGGGATGATAAAACCTAGCAACATATTCATTCATTCATTCATCTTCTAACCGCCTTATCCTCTTGAGGGTCAAGGGGGGGGCTGGAGCCTATCCCAGCTGACATTGGGCGAGAGGCAGGGTACACCCTGGACAGGTCGCCAGACTGACACATAGAGACAGATAACCACTCACGCTCACACTTACACCTATGGACAATTTAGAGTTATCAATTAACCTAGTCCCCAATCTGCATGTTTTTGGACTGTGGGAGGAAGCCGGAGTGCCCGGAGAGAACCCACGCTGACACGGGCAAACTCCGCACAGAAGGGCTCCCACACCCGGGATCGAACCGGCAACCCTCTTGCTGTGAGGCGACAGTGCTTACCACCACACCACCGTGCCGCCCCTAGCAACATATTCATAAATGTTTTTCTATAAAATAAATGTTTAAGAGGCATTTTAATGTTGTAGCTTGCCAAATAACTGAAAAAGGACTAGAGGACATGCAACCAAATATTACATGAGATGTTTGCATATTTTAATGCAAAATGCTTTGTCACATCTTCAGAATAGGCACAATACATTTATAAAATGACATTTTTTGTGACAAATTTGATTTTGTCTGTCAGTAAAGAAGACAGACAGTGTCAAGTTCGACCTAAACTGTAATTTCTCGACAGATCAATGTTAAAAGTCTTGACCTCAGTAAGGTGATTCATCTTCTTGAAGATCCTTTGACAGTAAGTTAAACTTTAGTGTCATCGTACATTTTTTAAAAATTTTTGAGATAATTAAACTGTACATTCTGTTTGTACTAAAGGCTAACTTGAAGGAGAGGCATCTTTTTGTGCTGAAGAAACTACTGAAGAGAAGCCAGATTGGCTTTGTATCCTTTTTCTGGATTCAGTCTTTTGACGTACACTTCTCATAGCGCAGGCTTCTCTTTCCAGAAAGTGTCTCTCTTTTCCAAAATAAATTTCTCTCATGTGTCACACACTGCAGCAGATTGTCAAATTTTCCTCATTACTGTCCCTGGTACAGCGATGGAACTAGATTTGCTCTCATGCAACTGGAACACAGAGCCAAACGTCATTCCCAAGGCTCTAATTTGTCTGTATCGCTGTGTCTGTCAGCATTTTCCCTGTTCAAAAATAGCCCCAGTTATTGTGATGACTCTTTCCTGCATCGCTTACCCTCCCTCACTGGGATTTATCTCCACATAGGCCTCACCAAAATATTAGTACTTCTTAAATTATTTCAAGCTTTTGAAGGAGCTGTCAGGCATTGGCAAAATACTCAACATCTGTGCTGAGAAAGTGACTGATCACCCTGAATATGTGCCCATTTTGTGTGAGGCACTTCAAATTTGTAGGTAAGAAACCCAAATATTTCATACATGGAAAAGACTGTTGTACTTTTATTGTGACATCACCTGTTGCTTTTCTCAGGCTTCCCTTCCTGAAGGAGAAAGTATCTGATGAGCAGAACTACACTCAGGATGTCATAGAGTTCCTCTCTAACCTGGGTACACAAATCACTTATTATTTCACAGTTTTACATCAAATTACAATTTACAATTTTCATTAACACTCCATAGGCTTGTGGATGTTTTTTCCCCTTTTAGCAGCCAGTTATTTCCATCCTTTGCTAATGTTATGAAAATAAAGATGAAGACATGAAATTTAAAGGGAAAGGCTGGCATTATTATATTTTTTCTTACTGTCAAACAATCCCACAAAGAAACAAAAGCAATGCATTCGTTTTCTCAATACTAAACGACTTAACTACCCTGTCTGTGGCACTCAGCACCTAAACTCTATAAACAAGTATCTGTGTATGTATGCAGAATCTGTAAGGAACAGGACAAGATTTTGATATCAGAAACATTCTGATTTCTGTTTGTAGTCCAAGTGGTACTGACCGGTCTCATTTGTGCAACAGTCTTTGTGAGGAGGCAGAACACATTGGCCGAAATGCAATCTCAGAACCCATCGGCCATTACCTGCCAACAAGTTAGCTTTACATTAGCTTTTTTTTTAATATATTTAATTGTGTTCATAAGCAGATATCTGTTAATAGAGATTGGCCAAAATAAAGGGTGCACAGAGGAGGAAGTCCTGGCCCAGATATTTGCTGACTACACCGGATCTCCCAGTAATATTGGCTCTAATAATTGGCAAATATTGGCTGTTGCCCCTAAAGGCTTTATCATCGTTAGTTGATGGTTTCTGAGATTACTCAGCATTTTGTGTCATAGGTACATTATCATTGGGGTTTTTTGTTTTGTTTAGTTTTGTTTTTTGGTGCATTCACATGCTTGTGGGACTTGAAATACAGTGACCAAACCTATTTATGCAAGCCATAACAATCCCTTATGTAGTTTTACCTAGGTTTCTTTATTTTTATTACATTGTTATATACTAATTTTGTTCTTTAAAGAAGACATCAATTTCTCAAGACAGGAGTGATGATGACGAGTGATTCTGACAGATGTGTTTCTGTTGGCAGGCTGTCTGATGAGGATGTCAGATGCTGAAGTGAGACAGCACATAGTTCAGTGTGTGAGCTCATTCTACAGCTGTGTGGCTCCTAAACAGCTGCTTGAGGGTATGGCCGGTTTCATCAAGCCAAAGCCTCGGACTTTCCACTCTGACAACCAATTTTCTAGACTTTCACTGAGTGAGGTTTTCTCATGGCTTTTGTGGTGGCATGCTTGTGCCTTTGTTTCTTTTTGTCTGTTTTTCTATTTTTGTCTTTTCTTTGTGTTTGTTTCTCTTTTCTTTCTTTCATTCTTTCTTTCTCTTTCTTTCTTTCTTTGACTAATTAATCCTGCCGAATACAGTTGTCAAGTCATTTCAGTTTTATTTGTACAACACATGTCATACACAGGTAAACTCAATGTGCTTTACAGTAAAACATAGAGAACATTAAACAAATGAGATGAAAAACATATATGTAAATAAGATAACCTTTCAGCAAGCCTTACAATCTACACGATAATACATAATACATAGAATACAGTTAGCACTTACAAATGGACTACAGTACAGACACTAACTACCAAAAGACTGAGAGATAAGCAGTGTTCTGAGACTGCTTTTAAAAGAAGATACAGAAGCAGAAGATCTCAGCTTATCCGGCAGTTTGTTCCAGAGAAAAGCACCACAGGGACCAAATGCAGCTTCACCTGATTTACTTTTAATTCTAAGTACATTCAGGGGACACATGCTTGAACATCTTGGGGATCTGGTTGAGTAGTGAGCAAGTGGGAAATATATTTAGGAGCCATACCATTTAGGATCTTGGAAACAAATAGTAATACTTGAAATTAGTTCTTTACTGTACCAGCAGCCAGTGTTTTGTGTGTGAAATTGTTCAACCTGGATTTCCCCTCTGGGGATCAATAACAGCTCTTCCTCAAACAACATTGTCCATGACTGACACAGTTGTTTGTATATTTTCATTACATTTTTAACTGCACTGCTTCCAGAAATGTCAGGCTCTAAATTTGATGTTCTTTTTAATCTGTTTTTTTTTCATTTCATTTTTTTCTACTAAAACTGCTATACTACCTTTCCTGTGTCCTAATTTTCTTCTTAACTGAGTTTTCCTTTCTGTTTTATCAATGTATCACTTTTTGTCATTGGTGTTGTTGTTTCCCTGATTTCCGATTTTCAATTAAGAGGCACTTTTAAACAAGAATGTATTTTTTTCTTCTTCTTTCTGTTTTATTATTTTTTATCTTGTCTTCTCTTGAGTTTGTTTCTTGTAGCTCACACCTGTTATTTATTTATTTATTTTATAAATGTGTTTCTGCAGGGCTCCAGCCAACTTCTCCAGGCTACAGGCTACAGCTGCTGGAGCGCAGTGACCTGGCTCAGACGTTGGTCCTCTCCATGGCCGCTCTGGAGAACCAGCCCGCCATCAAGCTGCAGCTGCTGCAGACACTTCAGATCCTCTCCAGCTCTTCTGGTCAGTAACTGATTTTAATCTGGATCCACGGAGGTAGGAGGGGATCTGTCAGACATGTCAGTCCAATGTCCTTCATTAGATAAAGTAGCCAGCTCTCAAGAACATAAATCATCTAATGACCAAATAATCAGACAAACAATCAAAACAGTGATTTTTAAGTGTCCTTGTGTCAATGTCAGCAGGTCAATGGATCGTTTTATCATCGGTCACATTAATTGCATATCATTTTACAAACACAGATATGAACTGTGCATTAATACTGAATGCACGTGGAGCAGAGATGATCTGCCTCCACATGAACGAGCCCGACCCATCCGGTCAGGTCCTGTTCTACTCCTCCGAAATCCTCTGGAACCTACTGGAGAAAGGCAGCAAGGAGGCCACTGCTCAGCTCAGCAGCATCGAGTGTGTCATGTAGGTGTCCCCTGTGGCTTTAACATGTTTTCAAAGGTGCCTGATGAGGACAGCGTGTGCTTGTAGAGTTGACTTCATTGATGACTTTTCATTTCTTTGAGGAAGACAAATCCTTAAATTGATAGAATCCTAAAATTTAAATCTCCTTATAGGAACATATATGAGTCAAGAATTAATAATCTTCCATTCTCTAAAAATTTGAATACTTTTGTGCTCTCATTCTGTACAAATAGATTACGTTTAATTTATTACGTTCTCTTTCTTTGCTCATTAGATCTCTAAAAGAAGCATTTATTCACCAGCTGATTAGCGGTTTCCGACATTCTGACCTCCAACTCAGAAATGATCTGCTCGTGATCACAACTCTCATCACTGAAAATCTCAACTCTCTGATTAATGTGAGTGCAGGATAGGTAACTGTATAATGGAAACACAATGCTGCTGCTCTTTAAGACTCATAACTGCTATATTTAGAAGGTTTGCAAAATGTACCACTTGTTCCACAATGTTTGCTTGACGTGTGTTTCTAATTTTCAGGAGAGTTTATTTGCCAAACAGCTCGTAGCTTTGGTCACCTTTCCAGAGCGTGAGGCCACTCTTTCCTTGTACATCACTGTTTCATTTTTAAATTTGAGTTATTTATCAGTATTCGTGACAACAAAATGCTTCATTTATGTTGCAGTGAAAAGTCAGAACCCCCTGGTCCGCAACCTCAAGCTTACCTACAATAACGAAGATTTTCAAATGAAGAAGCTGCTGTTGAATCTGTTGGTTATAATGTCAAAGGACTCAGCTGCCCTGCAGGTCATTCGCACACTCAGTTCATATTGTTTGAGTAATTGTCACGAAGAGTCTAAATGTGACACCCTCCATGTTTTCTTCTCCTAGCTGTATAAGGAGGAAAGAGTTATGCCTGCTCTTCTGACGCTTGTGAGTCCGCCTGCATCCTCATCTGAGCGGCGCTCAGCTTCACGTCAGTGGTCCCCCGTCCAGCAGGAGGAGCTCCAGCTGCAGGCGCTAGCCACACTCTCCACCATCGCTCCGCTCATGTTGGATGACTATATAACTTGTCAGGGAAACTCCTGTCTGCTGCTACTGCTGGACTGGTGTGTTGCACAAGGTAAGGATGCTGCGAAACATGGAGAGAGACAAACAAGAGGCTTCGGAGAGCCAGTCCTGTATGAAAGGTCAGAGGTCAAACACCAACATCCATGGGACCTGTCAGAGTGCCTTGAACAAAACACTGAGTCCCTACACACTCACCCTTAGATAATGTGGATCAGCTAAAAACAAAAATGTAACATAGTTAGAATTAATTATTTAACAGGTTTTCAAAAGAAGAAACTATGATAAATTGTTGTGTTGTTACAGTCCTCCAGAAACAACAGGATACTTATCATCTTTCCTCCAGATCCTTTCTTTGGTCAGAGTCACAGTTCAGGGGGAAGAGGCAGTAAGAAGGCTCAGATGCGACATTGTATCAGAGTGCTGAGATCTGTGACGTCTTCAGGTGAAGACTTAGTCAATGAGGACCTTTGTGATCAAGGAGTTATCAACCAGCTCTTGGGTAAATTTAATTAAAACTTGCACAACATCAGCAGAAACATTTTTATTAATAAACATGGTCAGTACAGACATGTGGTTTATTTTCTCAGGGATTTTGATGCAGATGGAAGCAAGTCCTGATGAGGAGGATGAAGTCACCCTGGAGATAAAGTCAGATATTCAACTGATACTTTCAGCGCTGTGTGAGAGTGACATGCATAGAAAAGTAAGACTGAGCTGATGACCCTGATAAAAACACTTTGTTACATCCTGTTCAATTACAGAAGTCACTGTGGACAGCCAAGAAGTTTAACTTAAAGCCTCTATATGACTTTTATGTGATCGTAGCATCTTTCAGATTAGTTTGAAAGATGGACAAGTTTTTGTCCATTAAGAAATAAAACAATACCTGTTAAGATCAGTGCCAAAGAAAGACAGTTTCAAATTCTAAACACAAAACATAGAAACACATTCATAAATGATATGTTTTTGCTTTAGCGTTTCAAGTGAAAACCAGAGTTTTTAAAAATTATTATTACATACTGTTATTCCATTTTCTTGCAGTTTTAAATACTAAATAATATGATGCTTGAATCACAACATTACATTTTCAGTTAAAGTTTTGTACAATATCGCCGTGCTGACAGTCCTGTTGTGTTGTTCCACAGGAGCTGTTTGGATCAGAGGGAGTTGAGATGGCAGTTCACTTCCTGAGGAAAGGCTGCAACAATTTCTACAATGGTCTGGGACACAACAAGCTCATCCTCTCCACAGTGGACTGTGTGCGGTCAGTTCAGCAAAATCTCAGCATCCTTTGACTGATTGATGTATTAATTGGCTGTTACACTGGCCTTGTGTCCTCATGTTTTCAGGAATCAGATTTTAATCTAATCCATAACGAGTCTTGGTCACATTCAGGCATGTAATTATTGTTGAGGACACAGAGATCATGTCTTTGGTGTTTTTTCTTATCTTCATTTTTATTTTTCAAACAGAAGTGCAATTTATTTAAGAGGGGGATGAATGATGTTTTGTTTTGTTTTTTTGTTTTTTTTTTTAACTTGAATTTACAGAAATACTTTATCCACAAAATTATCATTTGTATATCAAAAACCCATCGAGTGTTACCTTGAATTCATGAAGAAAACTGCACGAGTTGAAATACATACCCTGTTTATTTCAATTCATCAAGAATGTTCACCTTTTTGGATTCTTCGTTCACTGTGGAGGCCTGTGAAAAAGCAAACTTTTTCCATAAATTCAATGTAACACGTGGTGAGGAATTGATATATAAATGGTCATTTTGTGGGTGAAGTTTTCCTTTTATCTAGAGAAACTTGTATCATAATTAACTTCACCCTCAATTAACCAAATTAAAGTAAAGAACATATGAAGCTCTTACTCTAATATTACATTAAGAACCTCTTGATCTCTTGACCTCTATCATTTATGTCATCATGACACCTTTTATACCTTTCTACACTTTACACTTTTTCAGCCCAAAAAGAATTTGGTGAACAAACTTACTGACTGATTCCCCACAGCTGATTTAAGTTTGTGTCCCATCAGGTCTTGTATTGTGGGCTGCTACACCACAGAAGATTATTTTTTGGCTAAAGGTGGGGCGTCTCTTGTGTTGGATTTACTCAGGGTAAGTAGCTGATTGACTTCCCCTGTTGTTATTCTATTTGTGTGTTCACATGCACTTAAATGTAAAGCACTGATAATGAATACTTTGAGCATCCCTCTCTCAAACAGTCAAGCCCCAGATGCATACACTGCATTGTCCTTGCCACCCTGCTGGAGTTATGTGAAAACCCGAACACTCTGTCTCACATCCTGAGCTGGAGGGACGCTGGCGGTCAGACGGCTCCCAGACTCCTGCTGCAGCTGTGGAGGGACGAGGAGGAGAAGCTGAAAGTCAGCCGAACCAGACACGGAGGGATCGCAGGTCAGTCTGAAGCTAGACTTTAAACAACAATGATCAATGACAAGACTTTGAGGAAGTACATAAACGTGTTTACATCTATAAAATATGGCAGTCACTTATCCGTCACATCATCACAGTGATTGTCTGAACATGAGACCAACAGGTGTGACTGTGAGTAAATATCAGTCCTTAACTTTCCTCTCATTCCCTAACTTCGTCATTCTGTTTTTAAAAAGAAAAAGTAAAAAGGGAGTCTAAGTTATGGATCAGGTAAGGTGACTGACAATGTGACAAGGTAACAGCCATGGGTCAGGCTGACTGATGAAGGTGGAGGCAGTGACAGGAATTGAGTTTAAACACTATGTGGCAGTTTGCAGAGCAGTGAGGCTGGGATGTTTCAGGTAGGTTTTGGTTTGTCAAACTGATCAGCAGGCATCAGCCATTCGCTGAACGGTTTTAAGGATGTCAGGTGGTTTCTCTTCTTGCAACACTGTAGAAAGTGAAGGACAAAGTGTGTAATACTGTCAGTTAGGGGCCCAACACACACCAACCAAAGGATCTGCTAATAGTAGTAAGACAAAATTAGCACATTTTTTTCTTCACTGTTTTATCCTGTTTGATAAAACCTCAAAGTTTCTAAAAGTTACAGTGACACTGTTTAGTTTTTTCACAATAAAACTGATATTCATATGTCTTTTTCTCTTATATGCTTTTTTACTTTTGACCTTGAGATTCCCAGAGGCTGATCCTCAGCCATTACCAGCAGGAGGACACTCAGCTATCATTTCCTGCAACAACACCGAGTGCAGCAGTGCTGGAGCTTTCAGAAAACCTGCGGTCAAAGATTTACCTCATCTTCTGCAAACTTGGTAAAGCAGATTTTAAGAGTAAATACACCAGTAAATACAGTGTCACGTATTCAAACAATACATCTGTTAATATGTAGATAATGCTGTTTTTATTATATAGTCTTGGATGTGTGGTAGATGTACAAAGCTTTTGCTGTTATACCATTTACAGCCTAATTTTGGCTAAAATGTCTTGAGCAATCTTTTCATACTCTGTGGATGTGGTTTTGACATGCAGGTCAATATATGATTCATTATCTATTAAGTTATGAAGTACTATAGTGCAAAATACAATAATGATATAAACAGGAAAGTATGACAGTCGAGGCTAGTCAAAATTAGCATTAGGCTATAGTACATTTTCAAAAAGCGATATATGCTGAACTTTTTAAAATTTATTTTATGTAAGTTATTTTTTACCAGGTAAGTCCTGCTGAGCTCAGCAGTCTCTTCATCAAGGGAGACCTGGCCAAGAGAGCAGCAAAAAAACGTTAGAGACCAATCACAATAACCCCAATAAACACAGAGAAGATATACAGTAGCATGTTGAAATATTAAAACCAATGGATTCATTCACACTTGCACTTATGAAAGCTTTACTCAGGAAGAGAAAAATAATTCTCTTGCAAAACTATGCTGTAAAAAATAACTATATGTCACTTTGGCAGGATTTCAAGGCCTTCCTGGATTGTCAGGAAAAGATTATGTGACCTTGAGCATCATCAGGAGATATCTGGACTTCAAGGTAGAACCACAGTCTATTAAGCAAAGAAAATGCCTGTGCTAGATATGAAATCTGTTGTACTAGTACCAGTTTCCATCAGGATTTTTACACCATCAGAATAATTTGATAGATAAGATACTGTAATCACATTTAACTTCTCTAACTATGAGCTTTAAGTTTTGACAGCAGAGCTAAAAAAGTAGTGTATGTGTTACTTTAAGAAGTAAAATGAGTCAAATAGAGATAGTGTCAGTGGCACAGAGCCAAATATGTAACAAAATGTTCTTTGTTGTTTATTTAAATTATAAAATTATCAACATATCCCCTCCAAACATGTTAAAGGGTAATTTTAATACAAAACACAATACGCATTGAAGTTTCTGTCTGTAGGTCAGTGAGGTTTGGGAAGAGATCAGCAGGGAGCTGAGTCTGGAAGGTGTGAGGCCGATCACCCCTGATGAGGAGGCCCTGAGTACGATCCATAAGGTCTCAGAGGATATGGCAAGCAGGGTTGTAGCAGAACAAAACAGCATTCTGGAGCAGCTGGAGAAGGATGACATCGACAAGGAGGATCTCATGTACACAGAGGTGCAGAGGGTTTAATTCAGTGATCACAAAGACTAAACAACCCAAACAAAGTGTGTGAAAGTCAGCTGAAGATGTGTTTGGCTGTGGGCAATATGCTGTGTTTTCAGGAATCCTTTTTGTTTTCATGAACTACAGCACAAACTTGATTGGAAAAAATCTTGCACATTAGGGTATTTTTGCATAAGCTTCTAAGCATTTTTGTTGCTTTCTAGTAAATTTACATTGCTAGATATTGTCACTGAGAGTAATTTGTCTCTGGGACTCCATATAGACACAGCAGACATCTTGTTTTCATAATTTGCTCTCTGACTTAGGCTTATTTGCCTTTGTGTTGCAGATAAAGTCTCGCTGGAAGCAGCAGGAGCTCACAGCCAAGTCATGGGACAGTTACATTTCCAGGACTTCAAATCATGAGATCCTGAAGGTTTATGTTAAGCATTTGCAGTTACAACCTCAAGTCATTACTGCTGTTCCAAAGAATCACTTTAAAGAAGAATGAATTTATGTTTGTCTGCCTCTTTTTTTGCATAGGAAGTGAAAGCACAGAGGGAGAAATACACTGAATCATCCAGACCCAAACCAAAGCATGAAGATGCTGCAGTTCTTCCTAAAAAGGTCTCTCTCTGACACTCAACATTGATATGTTAAGACACTGTTGGTCATTTTGGCTATAGGAGATAAAACCAGCAGTATATTGAGCAAGTTAGTTCGATCTCTTTTTTCCTGCCAAGAAGTAATCAGACTTTTACTGACCTCTACTGGCAGAAAGGAGGAATTGCAAAAATATCTTAGGCAGTACATCCACTTCATCAAAATGAGTTGCAGTGTAATTTGGGGAACTTTGTTGTGTCTGGTTCACAAAAGAGCCAGAAATCTCAACACTTGGGGGAAGTAATCATTGAAGAAGTAATCATCATTGGGGAAGTAAGTATTGGTAATATGTTAATTTTGTGTGCTGAGGCTGTGAAAAATGTACTTTTCCAACTTAAAAGGACAGTTCACCCCAAAATCAAAAAATACATAGCCTATTTTTTCCTCCTACCTGTAGTGCTACTTTCACTCTAAATTGTTTTGGTGTGAGTTTCCAAGTCTTGGTGATATCAGCCATAGACATGTCTGCCTTAATGGGACGAGATGGCACTCGGCTTGTGGTGCACAAAGCTGTGGGTGTAGTTTGATAGAAAGAAAATATTTCCTACATGAAACTGCTCACAACAAGGTCTATGGACTATCTTGAGTAACCAGGTCATGATTTCTAAAAAGAGACATTACTTTTAGGCTTTCAAATGTATTTTTTTGGCACTTTGAGCACCACATGCTGAGTGCCATCTAGTTCCATGATATTGGAGAGAAGGCAGACATCTGTACGGCTGATATCTCCAACACACTGCAACTCACACCAAAACAGTCTAGACTGATAAATAGCACCACAGCTAAGAGGAAAAATATGTATTTTTGATTTGGGGGTGAACTGTTCCTTTAAATCCTCTTAAAGCTGGAAGTGACATTATTTCTAATGTATCTACAAGGTCTTAACTCACCAGCTGGTGATGCAGAGCTGTGCAGAACAACAAGGAGACATACTCACTGATGAATTACACATGCTGGTGTTTTACTTTGTGTTTCAGCATTTCATCGGGCAGGTGATGTCTGTAGAGAGAACAGGTGCTTCAGGCCCTGCAGGAGTGAAACTAAGGCTGGCCAGAGCTCCCATCAAGGCTGTAGGTCAGGAGGAAGTGTGAACCACAACACAGGACTCAAACTACTTCAGCACTGTATCGTTTAAAGACTGATGTTAAATACCAGTCTTTCATTGTTTTTGTACCTTTATTTAATCTTATAGACTTTGATGTACACTCAAAACAAAATAAACATTGCAGCACAGTAAGTAGTAATCACGAATCCTGTATTTCTAATAGCTTCTAATTCATTCCCAGAGTCTGTAGATACTGACGTGTTTTCATTTGACTTTGGCAGCAAAGGCAGACATGAGGTCACTTGATGTGCACAATCAGCACCTTGTAGTCTAGTCCATCTCCAATCCTGCTTACAAACACACAAAGACACACACACACACACACACACACACAGGGTACATTGAACTGACAGGCCTTTGTGGCCTAACGTCTTATTTCAGTATGTCTGAGTCACAGTGCAGCGGTTAAAACTCAAAAAAATATTGACTAAATAAAACATTACAAAGTTAAAGAATTTGATTTGTCAACTGTCTTTTTCCACAACATTCAGATCATTCTATGCATTAATTCTTCAACATGCTTTGTTTATATAACAAGTGGAGCAACATGAACAGTGACAACAATCAATGTGGCATCATGGAAACTAAGACCTTATGTAATCTCAAAATAGCAACCACTACATCACTTTAACATAAAAAGTAATTATGTCCAGTAAAGGTTAAAGCTCATGTCAAAAGTTACTTTGTGTTTGTGCCACCCAGAAGGTCCATTTAGGGCAGTTTATGAAAAGGGTTTTTTCTATGGTGTTTTTTAGTTACATAAGTCACTGCAGTGCATTAACACACATATTCCCTCAAGCATGCAACATGCTGCACAGAGCCTCTTCTTCTCTCACTGCTCTCACCCATTTCACTGGCTGGATGACCAAATCATCTCTGACAGGTTGAAGCTTTTCATGCAGCTTTGTGAGTGTGTGTTGAGCCCCATCAGACTGGCACGGTCACACTGTACAAAAGAGCGGGGACACACAGGAGCCTCTTCAGTACGACAGGCTGCTGCTGTTTGTTCAGGCTGCTGAGGGGCTTCACATGCGGTCTGTCTGTCTGTGGACGCTGAGCTGCTGCAGCTGTCGTTAAAGGTGAGGGTGAGCATTGATGGATGCTTGTCAACTCCCTGGGGACCCATTACCGTCAAACTTCGAGACAGACTTTGTTTTACTGGTGGCGTTTCAGAAGCTCTTTGGTTTTTTGGTACGACTTCAAAGTATTTTCTATTTAACTCAGTTTTATATTTACATTCTTAAGACATCTAAATACATACAAATAACATATTTTTTTTAGATTTTTAAGCACTTAAAAATTTCAGGTTTCAACAGTGAGAATGGGATAGCTTTTGCTTGAGTGGAGCTGTAATGACTTTGTTGTGTTTAAGAATTGTGTGACAAATAACTCATTTGGCCTCTGTCTGTACTTACAGGTGATAAACATTAACATGACTAAACACTAAGGGATAAAAATTGTATTTCATGGTATTTTTCTGGTGACAGTAGATTCTACATGCAACCTCAATGTGTGGAAAGGCTGTTTGATTACTCCAGAAGTTATAAAAAGAATATCTCTTATGAAAGAGATGACTTGTGATGAAAAGCAAGTTAAAATATAACATTTCTTGAATAACAATTGCATTTATCGCCTGAGCGAAAAGGTTAAATTTGGAAAAACTTTTTTTTTCCAGAGACAAAGTTCTCTGTGATGTAGCTCAATTAACTCCAGATTATTTGCAGATAAAATAGACAGTGAAATGTCCAAAAATATACATGTTTTTTTAAGACCAGTGGTTTCATGGGTCAGGTAAAGGGTGTCTGCAGGTTCTTAAGTGTTAAAATGTCTTAAATTTAATTATATGAATATTATGCCTTAAAAGTCATTGAAAAATTGTGGCAAAAAATAATACAATCTCATTTATCCATCTTTGTATTTCTTTTTGTCAAAATAAGTCAATCTCTTCTGCATGAAAGTCCACATTTCTGATTCAAGCTATCACTAACTTAATCATGTCTTTTACTTTATACTTACGTGTTGGAAAAATGTAGATTCATTTAACTCACTCTAATAATCATATTCCTACATAAAACCTGCCTCCTCTATTTACACAGTCTATGCTCTGTGCTGGACTACACACTTACCTTCATATTCATTATCTGTGATTAAATATTATCTTGAAAAGGACTTAAAAGGCATTAAATTTAAGTGTCTGATTCCTGTAGACACCCTAGTTGAGTTACTCCCACAGGGTCTTGAGATGAATCTCAGGGGTCACAAGATCATAAATGGGAAAGAAAAATTACCATATTTTTTTTTTATCAGATTTTACTTCAGCAAAATACAGGATAGTTTTAATCTTCAGATATATAAAAAGTATCAATATAGAATAATCTGAGAGTAGAAATTCACTCTTTGGTTGAAGCGCTCACAGCTGTGACAGCAGGTTACATGTAGAAACAGCTTTGTTCTAAGGGGTCAGAAAACCAAAATGTTTGGGAAAAACTGATATGAAGAACTAATTGTTAGACATAATAACTATTGAAGGATTGAAGACAGTTTCTTCCCCTGCAGGAGGTTGTTGTTTGGTCTGAGGAGCTTCAGCAGCAGAAATGATCATCAGACTGGGGCGACTGACACCGGGATACTTCCATCTCCTCCAGGTGGGAGCACAGAAATATTATTTCTGTCTTTATATTTTATTTGACTGGTCTCCACAACTGGAAAATTATTTACACAGAGAAATATGTCATATTATAAGTCATTCTAATCTAGAGAGCACAAATAAATCAATCCACTCAGTGAAAGTATTTTGTGTTAATACTTGATGTATTCATACATTTTTTTATAGAAATGTTTCATATTGAGGTTGGATAAATACATTAATATTTTACAGTGAGCTGGTGCAGCTCATCTCAGGAGGTTACGTTATATAATCTGTTCAGATTCAGCCTTGTGTGGAGGAAATACACCATTTGGGGAGCATAGGTCTTTAAAGGCTTTAAAAGCTTTACAAGCTTGTTGAAAGATCATGAAAGGCACATAAACATCATAACAATTTTCGGCAATTTAAAGCCACTAAGTGTAGAATTTTAACATTTTTCACTTTGGTGCCAATTACGGCATGAATCAGACTGACTCTACAGCAACTCTACCAGCTCTGTGAGGCTGCACTTAATGCACAGCAGTGCTTTGAGCTAAATACTAACACCACCATGCTACAGCCCAGTCACATGTTTTTACAGAGACATCGATGGTTTCTACAGACGTCATTATGCCATCAAAACGATAGGCTATCTTTAAAACCCAAACGAGCTTTTCCTTACCACAGAACCAAGTGTTTTTTTGTGCCTAAACCCCACCATACTTTTACCACAGCACTGTTGATATTTAGAGTTTCAACATGTCCACTACATAATAACGTATGAATGTAATGTACGTGTGGTTTGCAGAAATGTACAATGGCAACATTTAGAAAGAAAAAAGAAAGCACTCCTTTATTAGTCCCTCAAGAGGAAATTCAATTTTCAATTTTTTTTTTAATTTGTGTGATTTTATTCACGAGATGAGGTTGCAGCCATGCTTACAACCTCGCTATGACAATGCTAACATACTGATGTTTAGCAGGTATAATGTTTTATCATGTTCACTATTTTTGTTTTTTATGCTAGCATGCTAACGTTTGCTAATAAGAACTAAACACAAAGAACAGCCAAGGCTGATAGGAATGTCATTAGTTTTGCAGGTATTTTGTCATGAAGTATTGGGAAAATTCCATTTTTGACCTGATGATGTCACCAGATGGAAAGTCACCAAAGTTATTACAATGAATCCTGAAGGGAAAAATGTGTATCTTCCTGAGACCTGGAGTTTTGTATGCATTTTTATTTTCTCCTAGCTATTTGGGATCAGTAGAATCTGATAACTATAGAAAACTAAATATTGTCATTAATAATTAAGTTCCAATGTCCTCAAATGAGTACTTCCTAATTAAAACTTAAACTTTGTGGCCATATCAAACTACAAACATTATTATCATTAATCATAAATAAACAAGTTTCAAGCATAAAATGTGATCAGGCTTTGGAATGTCCACTTTTGAGTTGGGATCGACTGCAGATTGACTTGGCAGAGACGGCTGTCATCTTGTTTTTACATGGACTAGTGTACTGTGCTCCTACTACCACTAGAGGACAAAAAAATGTCCACAAACAAGGACAACAGGTTTAGTATTAAGTTAAGTATTATACTTATACTTCATTCTAAGTAGAATTCTAAGTAGAATGAAGTGTAACGGTCAGGTAAACCCATCATGTGATGCCCTCATATGAGGACACAGGGTTTCAGGATGATGTCTGTTCAAATTTCATGGTAATCCATTCATTAGGTGGGATATTTAAGTCTGGACCAAAGTGGTGCGCACACCCTCAGAAACCCTCCATCCCAAGATCCAAACCACTGAACACCAAATTGGACCTGAATCATCACATAGGCTATTTCAAAAAACAAAATACTTCAAAATCTGCCGTAATCATATTAAATTACACACATTGTGGCTTTAATGTGGCGTCAGCTTCAACTGTTCTCTGATCAGACTGGTGTGTGTGTAACTACTGAGTGTCTGTCTGCCTGTCTGTCTGTCTGTCTGTGTTCGTCTTTCTGCCCGTCCTGTCTGCAGAGGCAGGTCTCAGGCGAGGTCCGCATGCAGCCACAGAACAGTCTCATCGATCCCATCGCCATGACGATGGCCACACTGGGGATGGGAGTGTCACTGTACAGCACCAGGCAGATGGCAGAGAGGGTCCATCTGAAGCACAACACAGCCTGAGATCAGTGATAAATACTCAGCCGCAGACCTGCAGCTCTGTGGGCGGTTTATGTGACAGATTGTTTGTATGTCGCAGAAGGTTTGTGATGGAGGACGTGGAGAGAGTTAATGTGTTTGTGGTGTTGCTTGATGGAAAATTTAAGTGTCCCAACAGGAAAATGTGAGTCACTGTTCAGTCCCAGTAGGAAGATGTGTCATATGGTCAAGCAATTTACATTTTTTTTTGCAATCTCAACATTTATAAGCAAATATAAATGGGCCTGTAGTTTAACCACTCTGCATATTTTCTGCAGGTTGCCTTTAATTTCATCAGTGATTGAATGTTAATGTAATAAATGCGCATATTGTTTGTCGACAAAGATTTCAGCATGATAGTTTGACCTGCAGCAGTTATCATTTCCTGCATTTTATACTGTAGAAAAGCACAAAAAAAAAAAACAGAAAATCTAATAAAATAATTATGTAAGGAATTCTCTCAGCATATGGCTTGTTATATTTCTTGGTATTAGTCACAAACACGCACTTTTCCTTCAAAATAAATAACATTTGTTGTACTTTAACATGTGAATGTTATGAATACAAATTAAAT